TATATATATAAACATCTATAATGCGAAAACGTTTGCAAATGTTTTTAGTTTAGACAGGCAATATTTTCATTTATAATTTCTGTTAGTTACATGCTAAAATTAGTATACGAATTACAAATAACTTACAAACTATTTCAGAAGAACATATTTTACTTAAAAAATATTTTGATATTAATCATTTTATTAAAAAATAATATTTCAAACTCAGAAAACATAATTAGGTACTTGCATTTCAAGGAGAAGTTGATCACGGATGCCCACACATGTGAGCTATGACGTCAGCTTTAGCTGACCGTTGATTAGCAAAATGGCGTGTTAAGTTGAGCTAAGTTTTTCCACAGAAGTTAGAATGTAATTAAATGTGAAGTTAATTAAATACAGCGTCGTATCACACATCGAATTTGTTGAAATATAATTCTTTCTTGTCTACGTCTTTTACTTAATTTAGATTTATTATTTGTTTGCCTATTTTATTGTAACCATGATGTATTTTTGTTTTATGTACCTGGAAACTTCGATGCATATTTAGTTTATGTTCTACATGGCTTCGTGGCCGTCTTTGTCTGAAGTAAGAAACATATAGTGAAAGAATATTTGTGCTAGAATATTGAATGTGCCACTTAAGAGAATTGATACTTGATGGCCTTGACTTACTCGAAATAGAATGGAAAGAACAGCTGCTAACGTTAATGAATGCCACGTTTCAACAGCCAATCAGGATCGAGAAAGCCACTCTACATCACTTGCTGGTATCCCATTGTTTCAGCTAGCAAGTCATGAAATTGTGCATTTTAAACATCGTCTTCTTTTATCTTATCTTTGAATTACCTTTTCTATAATCTCTCATTATACATGTTTTTAGAATCTTCGTCAAAAAGGAAATCGAAAAATTTACTCATTAGAGGCTTCTAATTAATATTTAAAAGGGGAAAAAGGAAAAAAATTACTGAAACATGCCGAATCACTTTTGAGAAAGACAGGACGGAAGGCAAAAAAAAAAAAAGGTTTCATTGTCTAATGGAACGTGGAGGTATTTCTAATACTCATCGCTGTTTCCAATAGCAAATAAATTTTACACTTCCGACTATTAAGACAGCGGTTTTATTTTTCCTTTCTTAAATATTTATTTGTGACTCCTAACACACGAATTTTTTCGATTTCTTTTTAAACAAGGACTATAAAAACGTCAATTCAGGGTTCATTAAAGAACACCTTATCTATAAATGAATGCATAAACAGAAACTTTTTCATTTCTCACATGTCTTACAGAAATAATTTGTAAGTTATAAAAAGTATGTTTACTAATTTTACCTGATTTCTTATAGAAAATATAAATCTTTAGTTTTTCTAATAAATTTCACAATAAATTTCATTTGCCTAGTATTCAATTTATTGAATATTAGACAGGAAATTTAAGCAGTTTTCTTCAAATGTACTTTCATCATTTATACGTGGTTATAAGATGAATCATATTTAATTATAATTAATCATAAATCTTAGTTTGCAAAATTACAAAATTTAGCAATTTTATATTGTATATTTAAAAAAACAAACGTATAATACATTTAAGTCTAAAGAGGACTCTATTTTATGCTTCGATGACGAGATTCTTTTTTCCATTGCCACATTGAGAAATTCTTCCCAATTCAGGTGGAATTCCTAGAAATACATGAGAAAAACATTATTTTTTAGCAAAATTATAATGTAAGAAAAGAAAGAAATTACACTATTTCAATAATTACATTATTTCAAATAATATAAGACGACGAAAAAATTATTTTGACTGCGATTAAATTTTAACATCCTTTCTTTGCTATACGCTTGTTTTCACTGCGTTTTTTACTACAATTACTAGGCTATGATCATAAATTATACATTATTGAATAGAATAATATACACTGATAATATTTGAAATTAAATTTGAATTGTTTTGCTAAAACATTCTCTTAAATGTACACTCTGTGCTTTGATAATATTAGAATCATAAATAGAAATATTGCAAAAGTACGTCATTCCCCTTTATGCTTTTGATTCTAGCAATCATAATATATTATTTAAAAAGATAAAAAAGAAACAGAGAAAATTTTGATAATAACTCGTCCTATAATTATGATTACACTATTTAAAAATTGTGAAAACTATCACGGAAACAGGGTCTGGTTTTGTTTTAATAAAAACATTTTGAGATAGGACTTAACATAGGGCATAAGGACTTAACTTTAAATTTTCCCATATTAATTTATTTTATATACAGGATGATTCTAAAGATTCTCTTAATATGTATTTCTAAAATCCTTTTTTAACCCCTTAACGATCGGTTAATTTTCAAGAAAACGGTCATAAAAGTGCCTATTTTGCCAAATACACGCATTTGATTAGTGCTGACATCTAGTTTAAAATAAACTAACTATCTACAATTACCTTACAAGTATGCTAGTACTGCCGTCTGGTGTGTAAAATGAGAAATAAAATTTTTTCCGGGCAAAAAAAAAGTATTTAGTTTTATTCTTATTGGCGCGTTACTACTGAACACTCCAGCCCAGAAATTTCAAGGGAGCGAGAAATAGAGGGCGAAACCTCATCCGCCATTTTCTCGGGGGCGAGAAGGAAGAGGTTAAAAAATGAAAACATAAAAATATACTCATGGTGACGGGCAAATGACAGAGGAAAAAGCGAAAACGCAACCGAAATCTGACAAACTTCAGCTCAGGAATGAACGTAATAATCAACAAAACAGGTTCGATTACAGGACGAAACAGAGAGGAATTGAAAGACGGTTATTCAAAACATTTTCGAATTTCACAATTTAATTAAACCTGCAATTACATCCGAATCTATCTACTGAATATTCACATTTCGATAGTGTTTTTAATTTTTTTCTAGCTTAAATATAATTTGCATCCCACCGTGAGTATTCTTTTCGTTTTCAGTTTTGACAAGTATTCAAAAATACGTTCTAATGGCGACCTTTTCAGAACTCCTATAATCGAACCTGTTTTGTTGATTATCACGTTCATTCTTGAGCTGTAGCTGGTCTGATTTTGGTAGCGTTTTCGCTCTCTCCTCGGTCAATTAAAAAGAGACTCACCATGAGTATACTTTTTTGTTTTCATTTTTGAAAATGATTTTAGAAATACCTTATAAGGACAATCTTTTCAGAACAACTTGTATATATTTTTGCAGAAGCGCAATGATAAGTAAACATTTAAAAATGATATATTGCTGTTTATTTACAGTAATACAGACTCTCGTTCGATAGTAACTCAAAATTAAAACGTTTTTTTGGGAAAAATTAATTAATTTTTTTAGTTTGGTTTTATACTTAAACTAAAAAGGATTTAAATAATAGAAAATTAAATTTTGAAGACTAATTTTTAACTGAAAAGTAATTATTAAACAGAATTTTTCTTTTCAGAAAAATTGGGCTGGTTAGTTTAGGAAAATAAAATCCTGATTTAAGCGAATTAATAGCATTTTGTTCACAATTATTTAACTCATATATTCAAGCATCATTTCTTATATATTATATATAGATACAAATTAATAATTAAACTTAAAATTTTGATATACTATGATAAAATCTGATCAATGTTCTTCATGTTATTTTAAAAAAATTGCTTTACCTTCAATCTCCAATGTTTGAAAATGCTTTTATTTTCACTGGAACACAAAGCTATGGATACAATCTTCTGCCAAATCAGTAGAGAATTAGGAATCTGAATATTAAATAGCCTTTATTCAAAAAATGTTATAGTAAAAATTTTAAAAAAGTTGGAAACGATGCATAATATATTACATTTTTTTTTTATGATGTTAATGAAGATATTGCTCTAAAACTTTACCCGACACTGCTAGTGTAAAATGGGCACTTAAGTACTAGTGACAATACTGCTTTACAATCCATTTGGAACCCAAAGCAATGAAGTATTAAAAATTACTCCGTTCTAGCAATGTTAAAAAATATTTTTCATGAATTAACAATTTGATCACAGTTTCAATTTTTTTAACAGTACATGAGAGTTAAGATTTGAGACAATCCTAATTATAATTCTCAAAAATTATTACTAATAGCTGTCATATATTTGTAAAGACTTCTGGATAGCTAATATTCTATTTATTTTTGTTTTGTTTCTAGAACAAATTATCTTGCTGAATCAGCAGTTATTACACAGATTTAATAAAATTTTGCTTTTGCAATACTAGGTCAAGGGAAAGAAAAGATTTAACGAAATCTTAATTGTAATTATGAAAATAATTGCTACTTATTTTTCGTAATTATTTTCAGAATTATTATGACTTATTATTTCTCCTTATTTTTATCATAGTTCAATAAATTCTTTTTATAATAGCATTATAAATTACAGAATTAAATAGGGACTTAGTACAGAAGTTGTTTTTTCCTTTGTTGCCCTTTTTTGAAGAATCATGTTCTAAGATTTATCAGAAAAAAATGATTTAGAAGTTTAACTCAACAAAAAGAAAAGGTTGAATATAGATATAGTAATATTCATTCCGTAATAGTTTAAGTTTACCACAATCCTAATTTTCTGTCAGAATTCAAAAATTTGAATAAAGGCCAATTTATACAATAATTCTGAAGTATACATAAAAATATATGTAAAAAAATAAAGCATTTCGGCAACATCCTGTTGTTGAACAGAGAGTACACGAAGCTTAAGGCTCCACAAGTTCGTAACAAACAGCATACTATATATACTATATATATATTAAAAACAATTAAAATTTTTGATAATGGACCATTATAAGGCAGTGCTATGGGTGATTCCACAGTTGAGCGACAAAGAAATATTTAAATTTTTATAGATTATTTTATGAATATAAATTAAATTATAACATATCGCATCAAGGTATTTCAATTATAGAATTATAGACGCATATGCATAACATGTTTTTTTTTTTTGTGCGGGAAAAAAAATCCGATCTTATAAAATAAATTAAATAAATGTACCTCAGAATTTGTATCACTAATTACTGGTTCTTCTAGCTGATCAAGCTTATTTTGCATCATTTCAATTTCTTCATTTTTCAATTCTATAGCTTTTACTACAATCTTTTTACCGAGTAGATTATGTTCCTTCGGCTAGATGGAAAATAAGTGTTTAAAGGATACAGATAAAAATATTTCGTAACTAACAAAAAAAGTTTTTTTTGTAACAAATAGGGTTATTTCTTAGGCATAAAAAGTAAGTGCATTATCTTAATATTATGTATTTTGATACAGTCTATGATGCATTGTCTTCATTCTCCTCAAAAACTTTTGATGCATTGTAGAAGAGTAACAAATGCTACATCATAAAAAATCCTGCCAAATTGCTTGATAAATCCGAACTTGGATTGATCTCCTCAGACTTGATTTTAGAAGAGAAACAGAATAAAAAAATCTGAAGAAGACAAATTTAATTTAAGAAGCGATGCTTCGAATTTGGAGATCACGTTGCTGTTAGAAACTATGGGAAACCCGATGTGAAGTGGAATTTGGGAACAGTAGTAAGTCCTGATGGACAACTACATATACTTTTAACGTAATTAAACAACTATGGAGAAGCCGTGTTGGTCAGATTACAAATAGGTTGTCAGTTTGAAGATAATGAACTGCCTGAGTTTTCTACTCCAAAAGTGACATGATCCACAACAACCATCTGATAAGACTGTCAACTACTCCAGGTTATTCCAGGAGAACTTTAATCGACGTTCTGCAATGAATAGTGTTCGTAACAATAACCATATTCCACATTCCGACGATTGGTGATAACTTAACCAAAGACAGTGCAAACATTACTAGATAAAGATTACTAACAGAAATTTTTTGCCCCGTGTTATTTTTTATTTTTCAGATTCGGCAGAAGGAATCTGATGTTTGAAAAAGTAAGTATAATTACATTTTATGCAGTGTTGGTTGGTTATATTTAATTAAGTACAATGTGAGATGACGCGCGGTGGCTGAGCGGTAGCGCTTTGCGCTGTCATGCCCTAGGTCCCTGGTTCGATCCTCGGGCCGGGCAAGGATGACTCAGCCTTTCATCCCTTCAGTGGGTCGATAAATGAGTACCAAGCACACTTGGGATCTAAACACGGGGGGTTCCGCGTTCGGCTGACCATCTGACCGGAACATCTGCTTCTGCACCCCAGAGCCTAAGGTTAAGAAAACTGAGATTGGCACAGTTGGCCTTGGCCCTCTACGGGCTGTCGTGCCACTGAGTTTAGTTTAGTTTATAAAGTATAGTTCCTTATGTACCTTGATTCATAAGAAATAAAAATCGCGTTTGGTGATACAAATAAAAAAAATTTCAAATTACTTTAAAAATGAAATTTCAGTTATTAAATTCAGTTTTTATGAATACCATTTGATATTACAGTTGATCATATTTTACAAAATAACAAAATTAAAAAACCTTATGTAAAAATTAATGAGAATAGGCCAAGTTTTTTTTATCTCCTATTTAAGAAAACTCAGATGGGCACAGTAGGTCTTTGCCCTCTATGGGCTGTCGCGCCACTGAGTTTAGAATGTGAGATGATGTAAATACTCCAAAAATTGTTTTGGATTTGGTTTTAACATTAATTTGCCTTATGCATTTTTATGTAAAGTGTAATCGCCTCCTTTGGTAATCAAACGGACAACAATCCTCCCAAACAATGCAGAGAATTTAACATTTACTGTACGGAGAATGCAAATAAATACATTCCAACTGTCATATGTCTCAAATGTTAAGCAGATTTGAAAATAAAATAGAAATAAGAACATTTATCATTTTGAATAAAATGTATTGTCAATTCAAAATTCTTTTTTATCTAATTTAAATAAACGAAATTTCAAAATGAATTTAAAAATTAAATTAGATAATATTAACTTAATTTATTTAACATTTCAGTGCTAAGTACTGCGAAAATAATATTAACACTTTTATTATGATCCAAAATATCTTGGAATTTAAGGAACTAAAAGAGTTTCAACTAGTACTGCAAAAACTTTGCAGTATTGTTAAAACAATTATAAATATTGTAGGTAAACAAATAATATGTTGAGTTATACGAGAAGAGTCCCAAGATTTTTTTTAAATATAAAAATCCGTTTATTTTTCCATAATATTAAACAGTTATAAAGATTGTATTTTTTAAATATTTCTACACAATCACCACCTTGTTTTATGCATTTTTATACACGCTGCGCTGTGGGACAAGAATAAGAAATTTTGCTACTGCCCAGTTGTAGTATTTTTAAAATTGGCCATATTTTCGAAAATTTAAATTTTTAGCCAATTAAATAATTTTAATGATTTAAAGCATTCCTAAAAATAAGGTAAACATTTCAAGATTCACGAAGCACAAGCGTGAAATAAAGTAGTTTTCAGTATATTATAAAATATTCAGAATATTTTAATCTTATTAAAAAAAGAAACTACTAACTTTTTTATTAAAAATGCACATGGGTTGCATTTTTGACAAAACATAACTATCGATTGGGTTTCTGAATCGCCACTTCTTATATTTAGTCATCCTGTGGCCGTTGTCAACCGTAATTTTTTTCCCTTTACGCTAGGTCATTTTTATGTGCCCTTGTCATACCAGCTTCCATTCTTTCCTTGATAAAGCATTGAATTTCCTATTTGAATTTGCAGTCTTAAAAATTCTCTCTCAATAGTTTTTATGAAGCATCATTTCACACCCACCATCCGTTCCTGGTACCCCACTCGGTCCCTAAATCAAAAGAATATTTAGCCGGACAACGCGATATTCATCTCCGAGAGCAATGAGAAAGTGTGAGAATCATAAAAAATACATGGCTGGGAGCTGATATGACATGGAGAATGGAAAATTGTCACCACGTCCACAAAAACACATTGGTCGAAGTGACGATTCTATAGCGAAATTTACAAATGTTTAACCTTTTAGTATAGCGAAATGTTGCCTTGTATATAGCAAAATGTTAACACGGAATTTTCAATTAAGGACTTTTTATTTAGCAATTCTGGTGCACTGAACTACAAAAATTTAGTTCCCTTATTAAAAGAAATAATTAACTTTCGTTTTACTTGAATTTCCAAAAACAATTTCATTTCTTTATCTGTTTCGACAGGAAAAACATCAGCTTCTTGCGAAGTTTCGCACTTTTCATTCTTTTTGGTCTCAATGGCACTTGTAAGCCTTTTTATATGACCTTCATAATTATTAAGTAGTGACTTGGACCAAGAAGCACTCGAATAGCTCTCCTAGTTAAAAATGAAATTAAGCAGTATTAAAGAAAAAGAAATTTGAAAAACACTTTGTCTGAACTATTAAGATTGTGTCCTAGTACAAAAAGTTTCTATCATTAGAACAAAAGTTATTCAAGGTGAGTCGTTTTTTTTCTCCGAACAGTGAATAGTGCGCCACTGTATACTTGTATACTAAGATCTTTACGTTTTATGACTCAATCTTAATGGTTCAAAAGGCTGACTTCAAATATGCTAGTTAATTAGTGCAGCAGAAATTTTAAGTTACGAAATCAGACACAAAAACGTCCTTTCTCTGAATAAACACAGATTCTTTTAAGCGAATCTGGATATCTGAATTCCAAAGTATAAGTGGCAGTTGCAATTTGGGAAATATGGTCCCCATACTTTGGTCATGAAAGCGGTACAAAGTGAGCAAAAATTTTTCAATTCGCTTAAAAAAGTTCTTGAAATATGGCGAAATACGCAAAAGCAAAATTAACATTAAGGGGTCTAAACTTTGGATTGCTCTCCAGTCAAACTATGGGGATCATACTTCCCAGATAGCAGCAACACCCTACATTTTGAGGTTCAGGAATTTGGCTCCATCGAAAAAAAAAGTTATGTTTATTCCGACAAAGTGCATTTTTGTGTCTGATTACGTAGCTTAAGACATCGTTTGCCCTAATTATTTAGCAGATTTGAAGCCACCCTTTCAAACCATTAAGATTGAGTCCTAGAACGAGAAGATCCTATCATTAGATCAAAAGTTATTCAGGGTATCCATTTTTTTTTGGCGCATTGTACATACTCTGATTATAGCTTGTTCTGGACTAACAAGTTCTTTTAAATTTTACACGAATGTTTCTTGACATTTATGTATGTTTTAAAACGAATTGACGTTCTTATTTAATTATGAAACTAGTTTCTAGGGAATTTAGGAAATCGAAAAATTACAGAAAAAATTACAATGTTTCCACCTTTATTTTATCGTTCTTAGAATGTTCGGGACTAAAGAAGATCATCTTTTAAAATGTTTATAATTTTTTCTTGACATATATGGCTGTCAAAAATATTTGCTCTCATTTTTAATGACGAAACCATGTTTCAAGTGCATTCGGCATTGTAGAAAATTAGAAAACAATCGCAAAATGCCCAGTCTTTTATTAGCGATTTAAAATAAATTCTCTGAGCTTATGCATTTGTCAAAATAAGTTCTCCTTTTAAATAATATTTAAATGTTTCTTAATGATGGGCGTTTTTTTACAAACTTCAGATCACTCTTTCGCATGGAACAAGTATTAAAATAATTCCATTAGAAAAAAAAACTTACTGGGGTGTCTTTAGAATCTCTTTTCTGATGTGTCAGTTGAAATCTTTTACTTAGATCTGTCGCTATTCTTTTCAATATTTCACTCTCTTTTAATTCCTTTTGTACTTCAGAAAGTCTCTTATCCACAGCAATTTTGAAACACTCTTCCCAAGAAGAATAAATTTTAGCAGCCTATGTCAGAAAAAAAATTTCAATCCCAAAATTTTAAAATATACTTTTTATTTGGTTTATTACCAGAATTTTATTTCAATAAACAGAAACGTATTCAAACAATTTAACGTGCCTTACTTGATAACGAACGTGAATGTCGGCTTTTTTAAGACTTCTAACTAATAAGTTACCATCAGATAGAATACATAATAGTGCTCTGAATAAATCTTCCCAATTTGAAGCCTATACAAGAGTAAAATTTTGAAATTAACTATTGAAAATGCTTATTTTTTAGTACTTTAACAACAGTACTCCTTTTTTCTTAAAAAAAAAGGAATTATTAGAAATCCTCATTAAATACTTAGCTGTGCACTCACGGGAGATTCCTTAGAATTGGTAGGAGAACTTTTCGGGGAAAGTTCTTTAGCTATTTTTGGTAGTTCCTGCAACAACAAAAAGTATCATTTTGTAAGATGTGCATAATCTAATTAAGTTTATTTAAAGAAATAAATAATGAAATACTCATTACTATTAAGGAGATCTGGTAGTTCAACTGGTAATATTCACATAAATTAGTAGTTTCGTACAATCTGTCGAGTTCATACCTGTGACCACTCATGTAGTCGGAGCACTATAAAAAAATATTACAGTTATTGGATGATAGTTTTTAGTCATCGATTAGTACATAGTGTTAAGAATAGTTAGCGAAAATTTCAATTGTTTGGATGTGTTTAAAATGGCGTAAAAGTTGATTTTGAATTTACAGGTCGATTGGCATGTTTAGTGATCAGGGAGCTCACTCCATGTCAGAAGGGATCTGGGTTCGAATTTCGGTTAGAGGCATGGATGTTTTTTTTTCCCGTCATCTCTCTCTCTATACCATTTGTTCTTCTTACTGCAGGAGCAACGTTGACCCACCTAATACAGTTCCCCTGAAAAAATGGTCAACCTACGGATTCTCGAAAGACAAATATCAATACAAATACGGGTAGTCATTGGAAAAGAAACTTAGAATTTACAGAGAAATTTAAAGTAAGCTTTGATTAACAGTGAAATCTAATAATACTTTTAACTGACCCTGACATTTTAACCGTGCTTATCAATGAAAGTAAGATTTTAATTTTATTTTAAAGTGTAGTGATTTAGTTATTTATATTTTCAGTTGAAAAAGGTTAATTTTTAATTGGTTAGCTCTTTCTGTTGAAAACGGTGGGATTGAGAAAATACAAAATCAAAAATTTAGGAGATATCTGTAGTACAATATATTAATGTAGATCCAAAAAAGTGGTTTTACTTTAGCAGCATCGTCTAGACTTAAAGTCATTGATATGATATGGAAATAAGGAAATGGCAGTAAAAATTCAAGCCTCGAGCATTTTGTCTGAACGATTTTACGTAGCATCCTTATCATTGTTGTAAAGATAGAACACTTGCAAATAACTAAGATGATTCGCTCATGAGTGAACATAATTGATGGTGAAACTATCTGTTTTTACGTTATTTGAGAGTAATGCTATAGAAAAATCATAATTCATTCGAAGTTGAAGTATGACAGGAAATGTATTCTCTCCTCCGCTTAACTGCTTTCCAATTGATAAATTAATTAAAAATTGAAATTGAAATTGGAAATATGCATCAAGATTAGTCTCCTACTGAAACTTTTACTAGTCATACTCTGCTTCCGTAACGTGCTCCAAACAAGTAAAAGCAAGCTCTGACTCAAAAATTTTTTTTGTTTGGAACGTTATTAAAAACTAAGAAGGAAATAAAGTTGTAAGAGAAATCATTCTTGAACTAGTTAAGAAATTGAATAAAAAAAAGTTATTTTACAAATATATTTTACATCCCATTCCAAGGACTTTTGTTTATAACTATTCAGAATTAGTTTTCAGGATTTTCACTTTCGAGAAGAAATTTTTACTTTATTTACTTTCTTCACTTTTACACACTAAGCACTTTCCGTACTTGTAACAAACTTGAAACTAAGCACTTGCAAACAAATGCTGTTAATTTAAGCAATTTCTTGTAATATTCACTTACAAAGAGAAAGCTCAGTAAATTTTGGTAAGCTAAGGTAAGGTATTTATATCTCGTGAGGTCTCGTAAGATAAAACAAAGATGCTTGGGTCTAATAACTTATTATATAACATATCATGAGGTAATGGAAACTTGTGAAAATATATGCAAAAATAGTGCTTGCCATAAAATAAGCGAATGGAAAGGAATGACAACGTTTTTTATGGTTCACTCAAAGATAGTTTGCCCTCTCAGATGATAAAGCTTTTCAGTTGGGATAACCCCACAACTGTCTAATTTTTTTATTATGGTTGGTATTGATTCAAGAATTCCCATGCGATAAAAATATTAGAGCCTGAATTTCAAAAAGCATTCGCATGAATGGCTTGGGGAGCTTCTACAAAGAAGAGTAAACTTCCATTGGTTTTCATTGATAAGGGGTTTTAAATTTGAACCGATGTTAACAAGAAAGAGAATTAGAAAACATTTCTTTTGCCTAATTTTAAAAGCCATGTATAGACATGACTATAATTACTATTAGAAAGATAGTGCCAAATCTCAAACCAAAGCCATTGTTGCAAAGACAATTTAGCAGATTTTATGCCTGAAAATCATTGTTCTTTTAACTTTTAAACCGTTATTATTATTTTGCGTGGCAATACACGCCGCCGAAACTGAATGACATTAAATGCACAGATTTTTTGAACCATTTTCGAGGGTCATGGTAAGGGGATTTTAAAATATTACACCTGATGCTACTGCGCATACAAAACATTTATGAGATAGAATCCTACCTTGTATAAAGATTTGCACCCAATATTATCGTTATTGCTATAAAGTAAGCCAAAATAGTTTTAACAGCGGTACGGAAATGTTTGATAATAGGTTGGACATTCTGCAAATACATGTCTTACTTGTTATATATTGCATTATATAATTAATGCTAAGGCGAATTGTGACTTTACAGACGTTTGCTCAAAAATGAAAAAATAAACATTGCTTTTATTCCATGACAGAAAGTAATGTATATTATGCCTTTAATATTTAAGCATTTATTTTTATTTTGCAAATTACATTTTTTAATTTGAATCAACATCGAGAATATTTCCTTTTTCCCCCCCTGAAAAACAGTATAAACATTTGTGTAAAGAATACATCACTTTCACGAAAATTCTACATTACTTCGTTAGGCGTCAGTTTACTTCGCCACTTTAACAAATTTTTCTCATCATTACTTATTTTTATTCGAATTTTCAGTTGACTTTTCCAGTCATCAATGGCTTTTTGGAAAACTGACTCCCAAGTTGTAGGGGGGAAATGTGACTGAAAATATAAAAGAAAAATACTTCAGATTGATGTTAGATTTTTAAATAAAGATACAGAAATCATATTAACTGATTTAATTATAAATTATTATGTTATTCTTTTTTTTGAAAAAAAGAAATAAATCAACGGTTAGTACCTTTTTTTAAAGGTAAGTTGCTCACTTATCATTCACTCAAACTTCCATGAGTTAGCTAGTCAAGATCTTTCTGATATTTATCAATTACATCGTATTAATCAAATTTTCTTACACATTGTTTAATAAATAAGCAATTTCACTAAGAGAATATATGAATAATTATGATATCATTTATCTTTACTTTATTAATGATTTTTTTTATGTTATTCATAATCTTGGACTACTGTTCACTCTTCTTTAATATTAACGAAGAACAGAAATACCATGCAATGCATAAAAGTCCTAAAAGGTTTACAACTGCTGTTTCGATAAATTTTTATTCAAAGTTTTAAAAAAATCATTGGCATATCAAAAAATATAGCGCTAGTATAAATTGGAGTTTAAAATATTGAACTGCTTGTCTGCTACATCTTCAATGCTTTTTGTCTAATGTTTTCCTGTAAAAGTTATAAGAAATTCAATTGCTGTCTGCAACTGATGACATCTCATTTTACATAAAGGGAGAGTATTGTATGTACATATACTTGTATGTACAGTATATAAACAGCGTAGCAAAGACCATTAAATTTAAACTATGTTATTTTAAAAAAACGCAGATTGGCCTGAAAAATAGGTTCTGGTTTTGACGAAAAATATATATATTTACCCGCTCTTTTATTGCTAGATAGCAATACTATTCTCTAAGCAATGATAAAAGTGAAACATTCAAACACTACATATTTTTCCCATGAAGGAAAGCGAAATATAAAAGAGTCAATTAAGCATGAAGTAAATTTCATTGGAGACAAAAAGACACATTTCATAATTTATGGATATTTAGAAATTTAATTATTCGTTTCGTTATATACTCGTTATTCATTGTTTGACCACAATATGTGTAACATCAGATACCTTTCCGCTAACAAAATTCTTTACAAATTAGATTACAAATTGAGATTACAAATATCTCGTAGTTATGATGTGATTATGCCAAGAATAACAATGAAACAATTGGTAATTTATAGCTAAATAATTTCGAAGCGTTGCTTTTGCATTTTATAGAGCTTCCAATAGAAAACATATATCAAGAAAACATGCATTTCTACTCGGAATAAAATGACATAAAACTTCCTTTCAGACATTAAAAAAAAATACCTCTTCTCTTTTTCGAAGTATCATTGAACATTCCGATTCTTTCCGATCCATTTTAGCGATAAGTATTAGAAGCTCATCCCAAGATTTTTTAAAACTGGATACCTGGAAAAAATAATGAAATAATTGTTGATCTCAGATTAACTTATAACGGTAAATAATGATAGGTAAATAATAGGAGGCACTTAAATAGGTAAATAATGACCTATTTCAGTGTATACTTACACTTACGTGCAAGTATGCACTGCGCTGTATGTATGTGCGCTGTACAAGTATGCTGTTTAAGTAACACTCTTAAATAATATTTCTTTTAAGATAGAGGATAAGGGATAGATTCTTTCTTTATAAGTTCTGTATATTTTTTTATATAAAAGCGAAATATAGATATTTCCTTTAAGATTTCACCTAATGTATGAATATTTTTTTCGATGGCGTAGGATGTGTAATTTTTCTGTCCGAGTTCTGTTGTAAATGCCAGACAATTTTAGATAATGTAAGAGCAAATTGCTTACTTTATTTTAGTGTCTGGTGAGTGATATCGAATTGTTTAGCAATCCGAGAGAAGTGCCAAAGTAATTCCGGTGGTTGGTGAAAAGGTCAAGTTAGACCCAATATGCTAAATGAGTATTACTTTATATTTTTATGTGTACTATTATAGAGTTTGAATTCAATTGTACGATCTTAGATTTTACTTAATTATATGACTCAAACTTAGATCAATATTTTGTAATCATACCACATACAAAATAAATATATTTCAAATTTTTATTTCCAGTTTTTAGAAGCCATTATATGCTCTGAAATAAATGAAACAAAGATTAAGTCATGCACTTTTACTTCAACACGAAAACTAAAAATCATGAGCCTAATATTATTAAAAAAAACTTCAACATTTTTAAAGAATTAATACACTTTTTTATTAGATGTTTATTGACATGGTTTTGAGTCAGTGAGTGTTAAGTCTTGCAACATTGTTTCAAAAATTATCCGACTAGTTCAATTACTGAAATTTAAACTGCAGCTCCGTGTGCTGTGCGTGACGACAATGCAACAATGAGAAAAAAAGTATGACCAAAATTACCAGATTATCGTAAAATTACCAGTAGAAATACCAAAAGCTAGGGTATTTTCACCGAAGTGCTTTGATAGTGGTTTTGGTAAAATTGACAATAAAATATGGTTTTATAATATGCGATATGATTTGGTAATTTTATCATACCTTAGAACATGACATAAAAACCATTTATTCGTTTAAATTTACTTTTGGGTTTTGCATTTTTTACTAAACGTGCAGTAATAAGAACTGTAATTTTAAAAACCAGAATTTATTTTAAACAGTTATTATATGAACGAAAAAATTACCAAATGAATAGTTTAAATACTGGACATTTTGGTTTTATTCATACGGAGACCATTTTAGCTCATTACCAAGCATCTCATTACCATACAGTGCTGTAATTTTACCAGAATTTTTTTCTTTGTGAAGTTTTAATCATTTCATTACTTCACTAAAACAAATAAAATTTATTGCCATTCTATTGCAAAATAGAATTTATCGTCAAAATAAAATGTAAACCACTTTCTATTAATGCTTTAGTTTAAATTGAAGCTTTAAGCTGGATGTCATTGTAGGTATCAATATTTCCCTAACCATATATAAGAAGAAGAAAAAGTAGAATTTGTCAACAAATAAAATTTATTCTCAATCAAAATCTGACCATTTTCTGATTAACTAGAGGGCTCAAATTTTATACTCATCCATGCCGTCAGTAAAATTTCGAACACTTTAAAAAGAATATGGCGAGATTGTGCTAATATCAGATTCAAGATAAACTGTCAAATGTCTTCATTCTCCTAAAATTGACATTATAAAAAGAAAACTGTAATCCAACACTAACAGGGAATATTCAAATATTTACTTCGTCTACATCATCAGCTGTAGTAGTTGAAAAGGCAAAAGAGTTTTGATTTTCCTCGCATGGCTTTCGTTGGATTTGCAGTAATAAAAATGATCGTATTAATATATCATTCCAGCTAGATATTCTGTTTCCCGACTGTAAGTATAAAGGTAATTACAGTTTATGCTTCGATAAGTTTCTCAAAATTTGCAAAATATTTAAAATAAATCTTACTCGACTATTTAAATTCATTTCTCGAATTATTTTTTTAAAATTTAAATAAAGTAAGAAGTATTGATAAAAAATTATTTTGTGTTAATAATAAGTTGCTAAAATTATATTTTTTGCGTGCATTTAAATTTTATAGCCATTATTATTAAATTAAAATGTTCAAAGAAGGTTTTAGTAGATAAAATGATAAGTTAACTTTAAATTAAGGGTTCATATTAAGTTTAATTTATCCTATCTGAAAAAAAATACAAATAAAAGAAAGGATATTATTAAAACTTCTGATGAGTCACTTTCTGGTTTTTAAAAATTATTATCTATACTGTAAAAGTAACTGTTATTATATGAAAAATGTATTTATTTATAAAACTTAAAGCAAGATCGAGAGTAATGCTATATTTTATTTACGAAAATCTCCTAAGTATATTTATTTTGATTAAACCGTAACTGCCATAGTGAATTTTAGTTTTAAAAATTAAATAAATTCTTATTTGGGACATTCTTATTTGGACGTAATGATTTCTGCCACAGTGGGTTAAATTAAAAGCATGCTTACTTTCAGTAGTCAGTTTTTAGTAAAAGCATGCCTATTTTCTATAGTTAGTTTTAAATTGGAAATTGTTGCTAATCTATAACATTAAAAGACTTACCTTATTCCACAAAAGTAATAGGCATTTAAAAAAAACTGTATTCGGATGTTGAAGAATTATTTCATACTTTATAATAATTTATCTAGTATTTCAGTGGAAAAGCTGTGCGTAACGAAAATATACTATGCTTGAAAAAGTATTTTAGTTCTTCAAAAATTAGCGAAAACAATTGTTTCAAAAACAGATAGTATCTACCTTTTTTTCTCTTTTGTAATCTAATGATTTTAACAAATCTTCATATTTTGAAAATATTGTATTTTTTTCAAGTTTTACAGGAAAACTAGAAACACCAACCTAAAAAAAATGATTTTGGATTTATTTAAATTTCTTTATAGCAACCAGGAACAAAAAAAAACAATTGCAATATTGAAAGTATTATTATTATAATTCTACATTTAGATTTGAAAAATACTCTTAAAACATTTTAGATGTACTTCATTTTTTAAATCGTTTAAAATGTTATATATACAACAAGTTAATAATTTCAAAGTCAATTAATAAAGTAAGCAAAACACTCACTCTACAACCTGCAGTCGATTGATGGTATCATGAAGGTTAAGTCTCTCTAATTTCGAAACTAATGGCATGAGAGTTGAATCGAGCATCAGCCGCCTTTACTTGACGAGCTCGTACCTATTGTTCTATAGCAAAGTAAGCTTCAAGCTGCCATCGTGTATTACTAAGGTCCCAACCCTTCACAAAGATGGCTCAATGCCTTAACTACTGCTCCATTACGGCTGTTCAAAGTTAATTGATTTTAATTTAATTTTTAAAAAATTTTTTTAAAGCAATAGTTAACATTAACTTCTTTTATTATAAAATTAGTTTTTAACTAAACATATATGTACAAAAAAATATACAACAAAGAGCATTTTCTTAAAACATAGCTTAAAATATGCTTTAATGAAAACATGTAACATTTCTCTAAGCAGTCTTCCTATTTAATATAAAGAGTTCAATGTTTCCCCCATAGAGATTTGAACTAATTGAATAGCGCTATAAACCTAAAGCTTTAACATTTAAAATGAGCAAATAGTTCTAAAAAATTCTTCAGCAATTAAAATGTCTAAAAGTACTTGATTTGTTTCCGTGGGGAACTAAACACAATTCATGAACTTAAAGTAAATGCATGCTTGTATCAGCCAATTGCGGGACGGGAGAAGATCATGGAGAATATGACTCAACAATTCGTGACCAATGACATGATTGCGTGCAATGTAGTAAGCATTGTGCACAATGCCGCCTTTATTTTCCAAAAAATCTAATACCAACAGATCAAAAGCTAATCATCATCCAACTGACTACAGCCGCGGCTGAAGATCATATCCCAGTTTTTGACTATGGCAACTCAGTACCTGGAACCATTGAGCCAACGCGGCACTATTATTAAAGTACTCAAATTTAATATTCAATTTGAATTTTCGATAATTGATTGCTTTATTATTAAATTCTCTCAAGTATTTTATTCTCTTGTTGTAGAGAAGATTATGAAATTAATTAATCATCCCCGTGAATATATGCCCAAGGTTTTACAATGCATGAATTGAATAAAATCTCCATGCATTTTATTTTAGTTGCATTCTGAATTTTCTGGCGTTTTTGTTATTCCGAATATAATTGAACAGACTCGTCTCAAAAAGAAATCGGTATTATTATCTTGTCACACTCGCCGACCGGCCTGTGTAGGGGTCAGGGAACTGGCCTTGCATCAGAAAGGTTCTGGGTTCGAATCCTGGGTAAGGCATGGATGTTCTTTCATTCTCTGTACTATCCGTCCTTACTGTGGGAGCAACGTTGACCCGCCTAATATGGTGCCCCTGAAAAGAGTGGTCTACAAATCTGCCCTTCAGATGCCTGTATGACCTAGGTCATTCCACAGGTGGACATTGGAGAAAAAAATCTTTTCACGCTCAAATATTACCCGACTTTCTTACCACCAAAATTAACTTAATATGGATATACAGTACAGAATCCGTTATCCGGAAATCAGAAAACCGGAAAAACCAGAAAACCTGAACGAAATTCGATAAATTTTCCCGCCATTTTTTAAAAAAAAATTTTTTTTCCTCATAAGTTTAGGATTTTTCGCTCCTTTTTGAAAGATGTTTACCTTACCATAATTTTGGAAATAATCATTAGTGTATCACTCCATCGTTTTTTCTTCTTTTTAAGATTATTTCCAAAAAAAATTTTTTTTAGTTGGGTTTAACAATAAAAAAACGGCTTTTTGTAGCGATTCAGAAAACCGGAAAAATCAGTTATCCGGAATAGCAATGGTCCCTATCGTTCCGGATAATCGGTTCCCTACTTTATTTTAATTATATTTGTGCCTTACATAACCGAAATAATAAATAACGAATTAAAATAAAATTGCTCACATCATTATCAATTTTTCGATCAAACTCAAGATTTGGCGGCAAGGAATTGTTCACATCAAGAAGTGCATGAAGCATTTTGTACCACGAAGGAATTACACTTGATTCCTAAAAAAGAAACACTTAACTTCATATAAATTATTAACATGAAATTATAATTCGTAAGTTATAGTAAGCGAAAATAATCCATCTCCTCTTAAATACTTGCATCGTGGAATTTCTTAACTCAATAGCTTAAGCAGTGAGTATTATTTTACTAGATAATAATGTAAACTTTTAATAATTATAATTAAATTTTAAAAGTGATTGTGTTTTTTTTCATTATCTTTGAATGCATGCTTGTTTAGAAAATGTTATTCGAAAACTGACATCAAAACTTTTTTTTTCATTTCTACAATCAGCAATTCTAATTTATATTTTGCCCTTTTTTCAGTTCTGAAAAACAACACTTTTATCATAGTTTTTGTTTTAAAAAAACTAATGCCACTTTGATCGGTTTACTTTAATTCAAACAAAAACAAAAGATAATAATTTTAAAACAATTTACAAAAAGTGAGTTAAGTTCTTTAGAAGTTATTATGTAGAAGAAACTAATAATTGCTCAATTTAATATCATAAATGTCCAGAGAAATTAACTAGATATTTTGAAAATTATCAAAACATCTCAAGAACTCTAAATATTATCAATTTTTAAAAGTGAGTAAAAAATATTCAGTTAGTGATTCATCGACTAATTTATTTACTTAAAACAGTTCTGCAATCCTGTACACCATAGAAATGAACATTAAATAATGAATAAAAAAACATAAGACTCTGCACAAATAAACATCTCTGAACAATTAATTTAATACAATTAAAAACTAACATATTTTCGACTAGTATTTACCAATGTGCAAAAATCTACTGAAATGCAAACTTGAAAATATTCTGTAAAAACAAAGAAATAATTTGAATGCTTGCCACTATTTAAAAAAAAGGATTAAAGTGACTAATTTCATAGAATTGATATACGATTTTTAATAAACCTTAAATTTGTTCAATTANGAACACTTCAAAATTTATTTACTACACTTAAAGATCAAAGACCATTAATAAAGGATCAAAGCATATTTCAGAGCATTCATTTTTTTAAATGCTCACTATTGCAACTGGAAGAGCAACTTTTCAACTAACACACCTGTTTTCAATGAGCGGATGAAAGAAATGGTCAAAAGCTGACCCCTTACAGTTTCCCCTGATGGTCAACACACATAAGGGTTTAGATTAGCTTTTTACACTATTTCACCTAACAAGTGAAATTTTAACATACATTGTTAAAATGACCAAAAATTTTCGGAATTTTTTTGGTCAACTTATGAAGGTTTTAGAATAGAATTTCATAATACTCTAGACAAAATTGACTTATTTCAGTGGTCAACATACAAGATAGACAGATGGTCAAGTTACAAAGGTTTTGCTTCTTTATATTATATAGGAAAAATTCCGTTCTTGATAATTGAGGTCAACTTATGCAGGTGTCCAACTTACAAGGGTGGTCAACTTGGCAGGTTTCACTGTATTATGTTTTATAAATTAAAAAGATAATATGTGTGTATAATTAAATATGAAAAAGCACGTATTACTTTTCTGCAACTAAAATCTTCACCATTTAAGAATTTTATTTCTAACTTGATTTGATGAAGCATCTTTTTTCTCAGTTCAACAATTTTTAACAGGATATCTTTACAGGCTAGTATCTTATCTTCGTCCTAGAAAGTGATTTAATAATAAAACCTGTTAAAAATAATTTCTAATATTATTGGATTTTCTAAAAGTTAGAACACCAAGTTCTTGTTGCTGCACGTGAAATCGCATTCGTTAATGACCCCAATTTTAAACGTCGTGTTCTCAACAGGACTGTGGATTCGAAAGTCGAAGAAAATTTTTGTTGGAGTGGAAAAAATTTGCTTTACTTATAAGTTAGATTCTAAATTTTAAAGAAGAAACGAATTTGTTGGTTTGTTGTTATTTAGAAAAGTATTTACAATTAGTATAAGAGTGATTTTCTACTCAAATGAATATTTATTATAATTATTTAAATTCGAATTTAATTCAAACCTAACGCTCATCGCATTGGATCGTTTACAAGCCTATGTTAGGCGGAACTATTGAAAGGTATATAAGTTCAGAAATCAAATTTATTTATCTTAGTTGAAATCAAAGGAATTTTATGTATCATATTTGTAATAGTTTCTCAGCTCTAGAATATTCAATGAAGTGTCTTCTTGTCATAATATACAGGGTGGTCCTAAAATATGTGTCAAAAATGTAAAGGTGGATAGAGGAGACATAAATAAGCATATTTCGGATAGGAATTGGTGTGCGGTAATGGCACATTAAAGCACTTGTTAGTAAAGCAGTATGAATCAAAGGAAACTGAAAAGACAAGTAAAGACAAAAGAAAATTCGATTCCCTAGTGGTTCAAGGCGGCATTACCGCACACACAATCCTATACAAAATATGCTTATTTAGGTCTCCTCTACCTATACCTTTACATTTTTGACATATATTTTAGGACCACCCTGTATATATGTGAGTGCGTGTATGTGAGCCATTTATATTTAGCTATTTCTTTATTATGCTTTAGCACAATTTCAATATTTTTAACAAGCATTTTCTTCTCATTTATTTTTTAAATTTTAAGTCGTAGTATAAAATTTAATTTAAAAAAAAACAGCTTTTACAACTCAATCATACATAATAGTACAAAATTAATTCAGAATACCTATTGGATATCGAATAAACATATACAATACTCAAAATTCTTAATAAAATATTTGTGACTGTCCAAATGTTAGTCAAATTTCTGACAATTTCCGTTTTAAATCACGTTCTGAATTTAGCTTTCAGGTAAACTTTATTTATAAAATTCTGTCTCAGATTGTTATATTGTGTAAAAAATAGTGAAAGATATAACAGACATAATGGGAAAAAATCTATTTTTAACACAAAACCAGAAGAACAAAATCTATCGCAGATCAGAAGAAACTGTTTTTAAAGAATAATATTTAAAAATAGCTTTTAGAACTGTCAAAGGATAAAGCGGTTAACTTTTATTTTCCCAGTAAACTTATAAGGATCTTTAGATATACAGCTCCTGTAAAAAGGCTACGTATTTAGTTGTATGTTAGATATATATCGTGTTCATTAGGAAAATAGTCAACAAATGTAAATAAAGATGTTTCATGTTAACGTGTTTAATGTCTTATTGTCAAAATCATTGACAACTGTGTTTTGATAATTGAGTGGAAAAGAACCCAACTCTTATAATAGCCACTATTATAGTCAGCTGTTATAATAGTTCTACTGATTAAAAGTCTATGTCCGGTAATCTTAGCAACTAAACTTGGTTCTTAGCAATCAGCTTATATTTTCTTGAATAGTTGCAAAAAATTTGAGTGATTTTATAAAGTGGGTTAAAACTCTTATACTTAACCAGATGTTTGTTCTATGCTAAAAAAATATCGCTTTACGAATTGAATATAACACAAATATACTACAAAGGGTATTTAAAGAAATAAATGACTTACTTCTGAATTTTCAGAATTTGAGGAGGTTACTTCGTTCCGAAACTTTAATAATTGTTCCGTACAATAACATTCGTCATTTTTCAAAATACTAACACTATCTTGTAAAATGCTTTTGCAGCCATTATTCACATCATATAACTAAATAAAATATTGTATTAAGAAACATAAATTTCAAGAAAAAAATCGAACTTGGAAAAAAGATTATAAAAAGTTTAGGAATAATTCCTAAAAGACTTTAAAAATGGTTTTAGAATAACTAATGTTTATAGTTTTAAAAGATTCGTATTTGTTTTTTCAAACGCTATGAGTATGTTTTATTCACATTCTTGCTAGGTTTTTTCTATGTGACTAATAAAAAAATTTTATTAGATCAAATATAATATTATACACAACTGAATTTCTATTTCTTTAACTATTCAAAAAAGATTATTTAATTTTTTTCCAAAAGATTTTTGATATGATTTGTAATAATATAAGATGAATATAATATAAAATTTCATCTTAACATTTACATAAAAGTATTGTTTTAGTTATTAGGAATGGAAATTATCTGTATAAGTTGAATTTTTGAAAACATGATATATACACTTTATCTGTGTACGATACAAAATAATCACAATCGTGATCACAAATTAATGTAGATTTGAAGTTTAAGGCTTTGATGAGTTAATACTTTGAAATGCGATGCATTTCATCATACTTTTCAATCTCAAGAGAATAATTTTCGAAGTACACCGAAGAGTCATTACATTATGACCACCCTCCATCTATAACAATGGGCTCGCCCACGTTTTCACGTCTGTAAGCTACTTTAACATAGTTGCAGACCAGGTTCACTCACTCATGGCAACAGTTTTTTCTGCGGGGGATGGTGTTTACCAACAGGATAATGCACCATGTCATAAGGGTCGAATCGACGAGGAACAGTCCAGTGACTTTCAAGTCATGTCTTGGCCCCCAAATTCACCTGACCTTAATCTAATAGAGCATTTGTTGTCCTACTTGGAAAACCAAATTCGTGCTGCCATGCTACCCCCTCGCAATGTGAGGGAATTGCAGGACCAGTTGGTGAGCGCTTGGTACCAGATACCTCAGACTATCTATCAGCACCTAGTGGAATCAATGCCGCGGCGGGTGTTAGCAGTTTTGAGGGCTAAAGGTGGTCCTACAGGTTATTAGCAGGGTGATCATAATGTAATGGCTCTTCGCTGTATATCCAAATAATAATCTTCTTTTAGAAAAGTGCTGATAATGATCGAGTCAAAAAGAAAAGTCGGTCAAAAAACAAGGCAAAACATTTAGATCCACCAAGTTATTTAGTTTGAGCTTAAAGTATGGTTATTTATATGAAATTGAAAAAAGAATAATTATTAATAAAAAGAGTGAAGAAGGATAATTGAAAAGCGAGATAGATATGATATCTATGATATTATATACACTTTGTAGTGTATCTGCCACTAGAAAAATATAATTCCAATTTACTAGTATATAAGACATGTTAACTCGATTCCATGGTGGGGTACCCTTTCATAGATGAAGATTGACATTGTCGATAACTACTAGCCGCACTACTTTATAAAGACTTATGATATTGTCCACTGAACTTTTAGGAGTTACGCAGTAAATAAACTAAATTATATTTAGTCATAAAGAGAATTATGGTACAAAAATCAAGAATGCATTGAATAATAAAGCACCGAATATATAGAAAATACTTTTTTTAATATTATAAATATTATATTTTACTTAATTAGAAAAACAAAGCCAATATTTAAAATATTTAACTTAAAGGTAAAATTTATTCTATTTCTTTTATAAGGTAATGTTTCTACCTGAGATTTATACTCCAATCCTTCTTTTCTAACATCCTCATATTTTTTACATAACTGTAAGAAGTTTTCTTGAAGAATATCACAAATGAGTGACCAATTCTCACTTAATGCCTGCAAATGATTATTCAATTCCTGTAAAAAATAATAATAAAATAATAACAATAGTAAATTAACTAGGCAAAAAGTTGTACATCCTTAGAGAAATAATGAAAACACGATTAAATATCATATAACTCTGGCACGGGACTTGATAACCACCTGGTTTCAGTTAAAAGTGAGCCCTCACCGTACAAAATTCCGGATCAAATTAAGGTTTGAAATACCGTCACTTTTGAAGCATCATACGTAAAATTCATTTTAACCATAAAATATTATACCGTAAATTTTACAGTTATATTTATCTAATAAAAGTGATTCAGTGGTTTTACGGTAATTATAACTATAAAATTTAGGGTAAAAAGTACTTAGGGTAAAAAGTTCGAAGCGCGGAAGCTATTCATAACAAAGAAAACACCCCTAAAATATCACATATCAACTTATTTTATATTACGTTTTCCAGTGGCATGCAGAGATATCAGGATGCAAAAACATTGGTATAACCAGAGAAACGAAGGTAAAGCAAGAAAAAAATAAGAATTAAATAAAAATTTCGAAAAGATTTGTACTAAAAATTTTAATCCATATTTTAAATACGTTTTCTTATATAAAAATGAAGGTAAAAGTTATTCGATAGTGAAAAATTGATTATTTCAAAAAAGAAAAAAATTCTTAAACTTAAATGAAATGAATGTTTAAATTTTAATGACCTAAGACATCATAGAAATTTAAATAAAGTATTTTTAATTCTTGATAAAATATTTTGCTTGAACCAAATATTTAACTGTTAAAAATTCCTTTTTCTCCAAAAAATGGAATAGTTTTCAGAAATTGAGAAACCTTAATCGTCGATTAAGATTGATCCCTTTGGGATGTCTGGATGCTTGGAGTCGTTGCCTCCCCTCCTTTAACTGAGCGCGACATTTTAATGATGGCATGACATTTTCAAGGGACTAATTTTTTGTTAGGTGAGGAAAATATAAATATTCATTTTTAGATGAGATGAGTTGATGCAAAGTTTCATTACCTCTGTATTACATTCTTCCCATTTCTTAAGCGAAGATAAAAAGGTATTTTCTTCATCAGTCTGTCTTTCTAAAAATATTTTGCAAAACTTTCTCCAATCTAAAACCAATTTAGATGCCTGGAAATAATGAAAATCGTTACAATACATTTAATTTAAGAATTGATATAAATTGCAGAGATACATTACTAACCTTTAAATTAAATGTATTTTCAATAGCATTCAATTTTTCTAAAAGATTTCTCAAGTTTTGCATATCAATCTCTCTTCTCTCAATCATTGTAGAACAAATCTGTTGACAAACTTTGATATTTTTCTGCAAGACATAAAGCTCATTTTACATTTAAAAAAAGGAAACAATTTGCATTTTCAAATAAGTTACTTAAAGTATAATTTTTCATTCACAGTGATATTTAATACGTAATTGTTTTCTCACTTAAAATAATCGTATATGAGAGAAATTTTGTATATTTCGTACTCGTTATTAACTTTAAGAAATTTGGCATTTAAAAAAATAGAAATTTTTTAAAAAAGGGACACAATTTTGAAACTTTTTTTCAATGCATGCATTATTTAGATATTTTGTGCGTTTCTAGCATTTAATAAACATACAGAAAATGTTCATGTTTAAATATTTTTCATAACTTTTGTGCCAAGAAGTTTTAAAAACTCAACGTTTTGAAATGTCACAATATTTTGCACTAGATTTTTGCAAATATTAAAAAGTGTTATTTTGTTATCTTTTTCAATCATTCATACTTTAAAAGAAACAAATAAATGTGAAAAATCTCCAGAAGCCTTTTTCTCTGTAAGTAATTTATCGTTCTCGGAAAAACCTAAAATGTTTTGCTAAATAAAATTATTGGATCCCATAAATTTGCTATTATTACTTTTTTATATTACAAAACATACAATATCCAAGAATCAATTTCTCTCAAACCTCGTTCTAAATTTTTATAAGCGAAAATTCTTCATTAGGAATACTTTTGTGCAAAACAAATTTTATCTGGCCGGTAGCAGCAATTTTAATCAAAATAAAATGTAAATTTCGGATACCGTGAACATTGAAATGGTTTGCAATAAAGTTGTATAGAGAGTCCGTTAAAACTATTTTATATATATTTCACTAATTTCTATCATAATTATGTTTCAATTCATTTTAGCGATTATTGGTTTAAGGTGCTTTAATTAATTTAATATGAGCATACAGAGTAAAAAATTAAGTGTCACTTAATTTTTCTACAACTTATCTCAAACCTCTTCTTAGATATTTTTTAAAAACGACAATTTCTCATTATGAAAACTATTGTGAGAAACATTATTTATTAGTCCTGTTGCATTGATTTTAATTGAAATAAAATGCTATTTTTTCATACTGTGAACATTAAAATGATTTGCAATAGAATTGTCAAGAGGGTTAATTGAAACTATTTTCTATCATAGCTATGCTCCTTTCAATCTTAAGGTGTTTTACTTTATTTAATATGAAAACCAACAAGTACACTTTAATATAACACGAAGAAGGTAAAATCTCTAACTTTGGTGGCACCCAATCGCATAGTCGAGTCGTAGTTGTCAAAAAATACCACATAACCTTACACCTTTAAAATTTTTAAGTAACAAACATCAATATAAGTTTTTGCAAGAAGCATTTTTTATTTAATTTGAGGGGAAGAAAAACTATAAATACCTCATCAATAGTAGCTTGTTCATTTATGTCCTCTTCTAAATCATTTAGTAATTCTAACTGTCTTGGTGTGAACTCACTGCTATCTCTTACACTTTTAGGTACCACCTGTTTTGAATTTTAAAAAAAAATAGTTAACTGATAATATACGTTATGAAGTAATTTCACAAATTAATATGAAAATAATATATTTTATGTAACATATTGTATACTTCAAAATACGGAAATACATTTTATATAATATAATAATATAAAAAAGGTAAATAATATGTCTTTTACGTAAAGTTTCAGTACAATATATGTTATTGAAATATTTCTATATAACAGTAGGCTATAAAAAATTATCTAAAAATGAAATGATATAAAATATAAACAAACCTTTTCTTTGAAAGTTGACGTATCAGAAACCAAATTTTCAACTTCAGTAAGATTTAGTTGGATATTTTTTATTTCTTTTTCAAAACTACTTAAGATTGAAAGCAAACGTATCTTGCAAATTTCAAACATTTTAGTAGCCTAAAAAATATAAGAATTCGTTCCGTCTTTTATAAATCATGCATATTCAAAAACTGCTTTACAGAATAAAATGCCATTTTTAAACTTATAAAATATTAAAACGGAAACTTCTTTTACCTAACTTACATATATATTGATATAATCAGTCATATAACAGTAAATACTTATTGCTAGACGCAGTAGATCTTAAACTAAATTGTTAATAATGAAACAAAATATATGAGATCTGACCATCTGAATCTTAAGTTTAAACTCTAATAATTTCAATTGAATTATTTTGAATTCAAATCCCTTTGTTTTGCAGTGAAATGCTTTATTTTTATCATTACCATACATAAGATGCTATTTAGTTGTTTTTAATATCCGAATGAAATATTATACTTAGTATTTTAGCTTCTTTAAAGAAGTTAAAATACATTCTTGTTGATATGAATGTTGTTGCTTCAAATAATACTTAGACAACCCAAGCTCGTCAGTCACTGGCTTTGAGAATTAAGTGCGCCTTTCGTTTGACAAGAGATCACCGATTGAGTGACAGTGCGGCTAGCTCATATACTTCCAGATAGACGGCACTATTACTCATATGTCGGCATAGATCTGGGGAGGATGTTCTCCCCACATCCCTGTACCCATGATACTCCTCAGCGATCTTCCACAAGACTTCCAATTCACAAATTTTATGAACACGCGCATCGCATGTTTTCGGCTGATCTTAGCTTCGAGTATCGAGCCTCTTCTTTTCCGAAACAAAATCCGATGTTTTAAACACTAGGCAATCACAGCCCTCTTTATTTGAATAAATCGTTCAAGTATTCGTACATTTAATAACATTTTCCTCTCGCTTCGATTGACCAAATGGTACCTTACATTTTTCTCCTGATTAATGCACTCTCCTATTCCAAGTTCTTCGAAAATACAATAAAAGTTTTGAATTGATATGTATATTAAAGAGTTAATTTAGAATATTTGAATAGGTTATGAGTTATAGAGTTCAAAAAATAAATTTTCTAACTATATTTTAAGTTACTGTGATTCATAATTATATTTTGAATTCTATAACATCTCTTTTTAGCTCAATAGGATACACAGGTTAAAGCACTGACTAGTTTAAGAATATATTAACCTCAACACCTGACCTCTATGGGAGTAACTGGATTTCTAAGTTCAAACACAACAGTCTACACCAGGGTTGGGCAAACTTTTTTGGTCGAGGGCAAAAAATCGAGAGAAAAAAGTTTGGTAGACCAGGTAAAAACTACTAAAATAAAAAAAAACAATATACAAATTTTAATTTAAATATTTAATGAGATGAATGAAATTGGGACTTCATTTTTAAAAGTTCCCTATATAGAGGTTCCAAGTTAGATGTACTTATTTAAAGGAACGAGGCTAAATGTTTAGTTATTAATCTACTTCTGAAATAATTTTTTCCAAAGTTTATCATTGCTAACACGTGTTCACATATATAAGATGAAGCATACATTGCGATCATTTTCTGGGCATGAAATATTAAATTTGGAAAACAAACTTTTGGTAATGATTTGTAAAACTCAAGCTTTGGCATACGTAGAAACAACTACTTTAGATGAGCCAATGTACGGCTATAAAGAACTTCCTCTTTCAGCATTTTACCAATTGAAGCTGTCTGCGCAGCTATTTCCATAATATAATGCTTTGTAGAACAAAAATAGAGAAAGCAAAAAGGTCATCAGTAACTTTGTTAAAAAAGAAAGAACGAAAATAGCTTTAAACAAAGTAGACAAGAAAATGGATGTATATTGTTTATTTTCGCCATGGATTGACAAGTCTAAATTCGATTGGCGGGCCGTAAAAACTTTCTGGCGGGCCACAGTTGGTCCACTGGCCGTAGTTTGTCCACCCCTGGTCTACATCAAACTCGTTTTCCCACATAATGATTTAGGTTAGCTATTACATTTAGCATTAATGTCCTTAAGCGTGATTGCACACCTAAATTCCTATTTCACTAAATTATTATTTTTGGAATTGCAAAAGAACCCGAATTTTACACTATTAATCGAAACCCGTGATTGATTTTTCATTTATTTTTTTATGGTTAAATTAAAATGTGTAGAGTAAAATTTGTCTATTTTTATAGCTATCCTCAAAAATCAGGGGAAAAATTGACATTTAAAAAAACGGTTGCTGTAATGTTCTGGGAACCTTCTTTCTTCCAAATTTCGCCTCATCCTTGTTCTTTACCAAAACGGACTTGCTCACTGGCTCAGATGCTTAATAGAGGCCCCTACTCACGCTGATCAGAATAGATAATTACACGTTTATAGCGGCACTTCAGCATAATAACCGAAACCAATATGCAAGTTTGTGAACCATAAGGGCACTTCATTTGATTTTTTATTCAATCATCAAAAAAAATTGCATTGCATGTTGAAATTCTTTAAAATGAAAGTGACATTTTCCAGCTAAAAAATTTTTACGATTCTAAAATTCACAAATGCAAAAACCAACAGTAAATTTAATCTTTAATATATGTTATTCTATATAAAAAAATATAAACACAACGATAAAACAATTCTTACCTCTGTGCATAATGACCTTTTTAAACTTTGACCAGAATTCTCAATCGCACCAAAATTCATTTCGTGTTTCTTTCTTGAATTTTGATTTCCTTGAAGTATTGTTCGGATATCTTGCTCAATCGTGATATATTCTAAATTGCGTGTCTCAATGGCAGCATTTAAAAAGCTTTTAAATCGATCAGTCATCAATAAAACCTATTCAAATGTTTACACTTTAGAAAAACTAAATGAGTGAAAGTGAACTTGATAAGTTTGGAATTAACAATATGAATTCAATTAAATTGTTCAAACTTGTATTACCAATTAGAATATCTATTAATATACAAATGTTTGATGAACTATATGAAGTACAATTAAAATTAAAGCATACTTTTGAAAAAGAGTTCATTTTATTTTATAACTGGCGTTGAGTAGCTGATCTGATTCTGAGCTTTTCACTACCACTATTAAACTCTGTAGCCTTGTAATTTTCAGTCTAACCCAAAAGACAAAGGAAGTCCTGGATCAAGCATCGGGTCAAACTAGCTTTGGTGAAGGATATTTATTGATGGGACTAACCCTCATTTGCATTATATGAAAAGGAAAATCACAAAACCCTACCACGGTTAGTACGAATTCAAGGAGATTCTAATCATGATCCGCTTACCACTGAAAATATTTTGAGTCAGTATTGTGGCCAGTGCGAGCCCAGATCAGAATTCGTACCACTCAGCCACCGTTGAGATTCGAAACCTTGGTTACCTCATTAGAAGGCGAACGCACTATCCTTTTTATATCCCCCTAGAATCTTTGAAAAGGATTGCAAAAAATAGCTATATAATTAGAATTTTTTTTAAAAAAAAGGGCCATAATGATGAAATAATGGTCTAATTGAACAAAAAAAATTTCTCATCTAGAGAAATTGTGATCATATGACTCAAACCCGATAGAGCAAGTGGTACAGTGAGCAAGAGTTTGGTCGATTGCGTAGTTTGGTGGATTGCGCAATCAGCCAGTGGCTTCAATTGAATGTAGTGTACCTGCAAAAACTTGGGGGCTTATTTCCTAATCAAATCCATTCAGTTATCAAAAGTAAGAGTAAGTTACAGGGTATTAAAGAATTATTTTAATAATTTCTCTAGAGGTAGTTTTATTTTTTTCCCCGCTGAGCTTATATCATAGTACGTACATCATTGTTAATTTATTTAATATTTTAATTTTCAAATAATTAATTTACAAACAAGTTTATTTTTCGAATGAGTAAAAATTTCGGTTTACTTACTATATGACCCAAATTTTATATGAATTTTTTTATGATTATGTATCCTTTAAATTCTAATGAAAAATGTTTTCTAATGTGTATGTGACTTTTATATAATGTAAAACAGATTTGTACGAACCTGAGTCATATCGATTTCCTTGCTGTCTAGCGATGAAATACTTTCCATTTCGCTTGTGTTGGTGGTCAATTCAATTCTTCGAGTTTCGATTATTTTTAAAGCTTTTTTTTCACAAACAGACACTGTGTCAGAGAGCTTTGAATAAGAAACGATGAAAATTAATTCAAATAAATGTGTTCATTCAATGAAAATCAGCATTAAAGTGATATAAATACAAAATTCAAAAATATAATTCCCTTCAATTGTGAATTTGCTTTTTAAAAAAAAATCATGGTAAATGATTTTTTTTCTTCAGTTGTATGCAATACAATTCAATGTTAACATGTAACATTGAATATATGTAAGTAGAATACATATAGGAATATATGTAAGTTTATGAGGAATATATGTAAGTTTAATTTAATAATATCAAGGAGATTTAGTATATCCACATTAGGTGTCATTTCCTTTTAGGACTTCAAATTTTCAATGAAATAAAAAGCTAATTCTTCTAATAATATTACAAAATTTCAGCAAAAGGATGAAATATTCAGTTTTAAAAAGCTTAAATTATTAAACACAATTCGTTTTTTCATAAAAAATAATGTTTATAGATGATTCAGAGTTTATTAAAAAAATCGATGTTTAATTTTCCATCCATCTACCATCTACAAAAAATTCAATAATGGCCGAGAAAGTAATAAAAGAAAGAATTAGTTTGTAGAAAAAACATAGAATTTCAGTAGAAATACATTCAAATAAGAAACGAAAATTCATTAAATACAACACAAAGTAAAAAATCGGAAAAATAACTCAACGGAGAAATAGGAAATGAAATTTTGAAAAACACGGCAAATTATTTAACGAAATGTTTCAGGCCATTCTGCTGCCTGTGCTTTTCCCATTTTTATAATTGAATTATTTTACAGTTTAAATTGCGATATAAATTCATCTAATAGTTCTAAAATTTACTCTTATTCAAGAAAAGTAAAAAGTAGAGTTTTTAATAAGACTTTACCGTAATATTCTCTTTTTTGATAATTTCACATTGCAGAAGTTCTATTTCATTTTTTCTAGCATGTATAGCTTTGGATGAAAGTACTTCATATACTGAAATGATGTTCATGATCTGAAAGATGCTTTTATTAGTAGAAGTTGTATAATTTTTTAAACAGTGGATTCAGCCAAAATAAAAATGAACGAAACAGACAATAATGTGGTGTGAATTATACTGGGAAACTAATTTTATTCTTGTTTTCTATTGTATGAGATTTTCTTTGACAGATTTTAAATACTTTCGCATTGCCAATTTTAAATCTGCAGTCACAAAGTTTTTTTTTCAAATGACATTTTCAGTCCTTTTTCTTGTCGAAATATACATGTTTAATAACATCATATAAAACAAGCAGTCACATAAATGTTGCGACGAATTTCTAAAGGAGTTAGAGCCAATCATCAGAATTAAGACTGCATAGGAACCCATGCCCGTAAATGTTGTCATACGCTGATAGAGGTTCTGCATCTAAAACACATGAAGTGTTTCTTCATGTGCTTAAGAGCAGGTCATAATAGGGAGCGTACCGAGGGGAAAACGATGACATTTCCAGGCATGTGTTCCGATAGAATTTTAATCCTGATGATTGGCCCTAACTATTCTAGAAGGTAGTTGCAACAATTACGCAACCCCCTGTTATACATACCCTTTTCAAGCTTGAACATTTCAACAAAAAATAGAGCAGAGATGTCCTTAAAAACAAAAATAGCTTCAGATATAAAATTCCAACACCGAAATTAGACGAGATCAAGTATTTGCAGCAAAACATTTGTTCCTCTGTGTCGACACATCGATATTTCTATCATATATAAGTATAATTTTAATATTTAAGTGTTTCATTGTAGTTAAACCCAAGTTCGAGCAAGATCTGTGGTTAACTGAGAGCTAAAATTTCTTGAACAGAAATGAAGTAATAATTTCCTCGTAGACTAAGCATACATTGACGAATAATCTTTATTCCGAAGAATCTCAACATTGTGGGTATTGTGCTTTTTTTCTTGGATTAAAATCTATGTGTTATCATACATCTATATTTTTTAATATATATGTATGATTTCAATATTTGAGTTTTTCATTGTAGTTAAACTCAAGTTATAGTTAGAGACTTATCTGGGATTAACAGAGAGCTAAAATTTATTGGAGAGAAACAAAATAATAATTTCCTCGTAGACTGCCTGCATTGTCGAAAATCTTTATTCTAAGGAATCTCCAAATTGTAGGTACTTATGCTTTTTTCTTGCATTAAAATCTAATCTTAACTACTCGAGGTATCTATTATACTCAAAATAAATGTTAAATAGTCATATATTTTATGAAATATTCAGCTTTTAAAAATTATGATAATGCTACTATACACTTTTATCAAGTTCAATGTAAGGCAATGACTATGTTTATCTTCTTATATTGCACTCAAATTTTGTCAGGCGAGATAATATGCTAAAATATCCTAATCACAAATAAATGTTTTTATTTCTATAGGTTCGTGCATTTTCAGACAATAAGTGAACATATATAACAGAAAGATTGATTTTCCTTTTTATGAAAAGATTAGGGCCTAAACAATTGAAAAAATAAAAATTAGCTGTAACTCTAATTTTAAATATATAAATTACCTGAGATTTTAAAACGCTTCCAGAACCTGTTATTTCCATAACTGTGTCCAAATCCTGTATCGTAATGGCTATTTCATTTTTTCTTAGAACAATGCTATCATGAAGGAGGAGTTTGCAGGAATTTATAAGCTGATTATCCTAAGAAAAATTTAGTAAAAGATATTTAACAATATGCTATTTTAAAATGTAGCTTTTTTATTAGTTTCCAAGCACATTTACACTAATATCTCGAGTAATTTTTTAATCCAAAATAAATCTTTAGAAAATACTTTCTAATACGTTTTTTTTTCCCTTAGATTCCAGGTTGGATCCAATTTCCGTTATTGTTGTCTATATTATTAAATTAAATTACACGAAATAAAAAATCCTTATTATTTACGGTAGAACTTATGTCTTAACTTTATGTCTAATTTTTATGGCTAATTTATATTAACTTTATGTCTAATTTGTGTCTAAACTTTAATTATAACATAATCATGTTACGCTATTGTAAATTAAAATAATAATCAAGTAAAAATTAAATGTTGTTGCTATTATCAAAAAGTACTTTTAGTTCGCATTTTCCCCCTGAACTTAATAATGCGAAACATGCAACTAATACTTACCCAGAACAAAGTCTAGAAAGTGTTTTCTCTAACTGATAAAGAAGTTGTATCAAATTTCTACTAAACATGGTCACAAAGTAAATCCAGTAAATGGTTAATTAAAAGTTATTAAGGTATGATTTCATTTTGCGTGTACATTCAAATATATTTCTTTTATTTGTCTTTTTTTTTAAATTTTATAAGCATGTAAGATTCAGTTACATTTCTTGTATTTAACATTGATCTACTATTGGCAAATACAAATTTTGTAATAAGTTCGAGTAAGCATTAATTATTGTCAATAATAGTTTCTATTTGATTACATTTGGGTCGCAGACAGAGCTTGATTTTTGAAGATGTTGCTGCAAATTAGTTCTGCTACCGGAAAATTCTGTCACCAGATTTACTAATAAATTAAAATTAGTTGTTTGCAGGGCCATCCTGGTTGGTAGGGTGCTGGACTCCCGTTCGTGAGAACTGGAGTTCGAATCCAGACGACCGAAGACTTCCCGTGTAGTAAATGGTGACTGGTACACGTTAAATCGGTTAGATCACAAAATCCTTCATATTCCCACAACAAATTATGCCTCTGGGGATACTGGATCAGAGATTGATAGTTCTCTGGTTCAGGTCAAAATTACGATTTGTGGATGAAGGAATGGATATATGAAAGATATGAATAGATCCGCCCTGTAAACGAGTGTGACGCATTTGTGAGGCAGAAGTCGAATTCTTGTCCATAGATGGAGCCACTGGAAAATAGGAACAATCGCCCCCCCCCCAGTGCATTAATGACCTAGACAACAACAACAACAGTTGTTTGCAAAATAATAATAATTATAATAAGAATAAGAATAATTTGAAAAAAGTATTTAAATAAAACGTTTAAATATTTAGATACTTCCACAAAAAACTTACTTCCAGTTCAGTTTTCATTTTGATGTCGGTAACAGACTGCAAAGCAGATTCTATTTGTTCAATTCGCAGTTTTGCATTGAGACAAATGTTATTAAGAAGAATCTGGCACTAATAAGGAAACAAATTAATTTATTCACATTAATGTTGCTGCCCTTTTTTCTAATTTTACACTAAAATATTTTTTTTCTTTTAAAAGGGTAACAATATGTTTAACCTTTGGTTTTAAAAAGGAAAATTTTTAAAATATATTTAATATTTAATGGAAACATAATCGTCAGAATACATTCTTCAAAACTCTTTCACTTGCAAAATGTAAAATAATATAAAAGAAGATTATAAATGAATAATTATACCTTATATATTTTTTTTAAAATTTTAAAATATTGTAGATGATAAATAAGTTGTAATTTTAGTTTTAAATCAAATTGCCGCAAGAAATTCTCAGAATAAACAGTTTATAAAATTGATAATAAAGCCAAACTCAAATTATTTTGTATCATCTATGTTATATACATTTTGCTTTTGCGTTTATTCTGTATACAAATCCAGTTTTTTGTTGGATATTTTGATTCCCCTTCCCAATTAGAAAGAGGATTTTTACCGAATGTCTGAATGCTTCGTCTTAAATAAAAATAGAATTTTCGTAAGATTTCCTGACCCAAATAGAAACTGGGTTTTTACCAGATTTAAAGATATTCCATCTAGTGTAGGCAATAAAAAATTTATTCCCTATTTTGAAGAAACAAATAATAAAAACAACGCAAAATATAAACAAAATTATTGGCACAGTTTAAATACTTTTTTTATTGTTATAAATTGCTTAAACAAATCTTTTGATTCATTTTTCTTGTAACTTGCTCAAACCACAAATAATCTACGGTTTTAAACAAAGTCAATTTTTTTATTTACTAAGCATTTCTGTTAATTGATAAACCTTTATAAGTTGAATGAGGTTTGTGTTTGAGGAAAATTATTAATCTTCATTTAAGAGTTTTAATTCTCAATAATTCCAACTTTCCTATAAAACTATTGAATAGAACAGTAATCGACTATAATATTCAAGATTTCCCATTCAAAGAAAGTATATGTGAACGAAGTCATTGAACCAAAGTAAATTATTGCTAAACCCATTTTCAGCTTTAAAAGTTTGTTTTAAAGGAACAAATTTGAAAAATCGAGAAAACTTCTTTATTAAACCCTTGATTAATTAACTATAAAATTCGTAAAAAAGGGATAAAACTAACGGTTCCATTTAAATAAAATAAAATTTTGAAAAAATGTACACGCTTTCTCTCGAGACATATTTTTATTGCACTTGAGATAATTTTTTTCAAGAGAAATCAAAATTCACTGTAAAAAAATGGGTACTCAAATATCACGAAACTTTTTCCATCATTGACGAAATCGTTTCCTGGTCTGTGCCCCGTGCGAAAATCTCGTCAAAGTGACGAAATAATCGTCACTTCTTCAAGTAAACGAATTTCGTCAAAGTGTATAATGTATTTACATTTTCAAATAATCATAGGCACTGTATAGGTAGTACAACACAAGAAGGCTTAAATTACTCCCATGCCCGAAGCGGGTTTCGAAACTCGGATCATCCTGGCACTAAACCAACTTCTTAACCACCGTACTGTCGACCGGCTTAATTTGTCAATTTATTTTCGATTGTCTAGTCTTTATTCTAGTTTCATCATTCTAGTTAACAATGTTCCACAATGCACTAAGAAGAGGTTTCGAGTTGAGGAAAATGTTTTGACATGTATTTAGGAATTGGCGTTTCGTCCCGAATCCCGTGATTTTGTGATGAAATGATTCTCAAAATTAACGAAATACTGCTCAAGGATTGCTGAATGGTCAAAAGTGAGAGTTTCATATCTGAGAGTGTTGGAAATTATGTTTTTTATTCTACTGAAATATTTGAATGCACAACATAAGCAGACCTTCTTGTTTTCAGCAACCTTTTCCTTTATTTCATCGGCTTCATTCTTTGAATTTTCGGCAAGAGTTAAAAGAAGATCTTGTAATGTTTTTGAGAATCGAGAATCCTGTACAAATTTAAGAAATTGAATTAAATTTAAGGAAGACAGAACTAGTTACGTCAAAACCAAAATTATTTACTTTAAAACCAAATGCCTAAAAAAGAAACTAATACACTGTTAAAAAAACTCCGGGTCAAAATAAGGTAAAAAGTTTGGGCACTTAGAGTGCCGGAATTTTTTACCGCAACAAGCACATATAACAGAACAAAGAAAATGAGATATTCAGTAATTTTTAAAGTAATAATAACTGCAAAAGCACTGTGAATCACTCTAATTAAATAAATATTACATATTAAATTAATAAATATTAAAATAGATATAATAAATAGATATAATAAATATAATAGATATTAATAAATATTAAAATAGAAAATATTGAACATACTCAACTAACGTATATCTAAGAACATTAAGTAATAAGTATTTATGACTGTAAAAAATGAATTTAAAAGATTTACAAATGATAATATTTGTATAATTATTATACTGGAAAATATTTTATTATGAATAAATATTCAGGGAGAATATTTAGGGATAAATTTATGGAATATTTTATTATGGAACTTTTACCACAAAGTATGTGGCATTTTTTAAACACAGAAAAATTTTTTGTTTTGACTATCTGTAAAACTCTTTGTCTATAAAAACTTAAACATGCGTCATAAAGAGGAAAAATTGTTTCTCAGCTATTGCAATGCTTTAATGTGCCCTAGTTTTAAATGCTTACTTTGTTTACTTTAAATTTTGTTTCTAATTTTTTGTAAAGGGTTCTCTTTTTTTATCTAAATAAATTCTGCAAATAGCGAAAAAATTTTATTAGCTCTTTCAAATTTAAATAATTCCGATTCTGCGACCATATTTTATTGAGAAAATCCAGTATTCACGCAATATAGAAATACTAAAAAAAATGGTTTACCTGATATCGAACGAACTTCAGCAACTCAAAATCAATTGAATCTTTTTCCGAATATCTATTCAGTATGGCTTGTTGAACTAAATTTTCAAGAGGATTCTAAAAAAAAATGAAATTTATTATTAAAAGATCAATAAAAGCATGAAAGTTAGCATCTTTACCCGATAAAATACACTGGAAATTTTCATAACACAGTTTAAACTAAAACGCATTTTTGCATGAAATATTAAAAAACAAACTAAAAAATAATAATATAAAAAACTAACTAAAACTAAACTAAAATATAAAAAACTATTAAAAATTTTTTATTTTAATTAGCAAATGAACGAAATTTGTGTTATAAATGCAAAAAGCATTCGAATGAAAAGTTAGAGAATTTAGATTTAGTCTGTTTTAAAAACATTGATTTAAGAATTTTAAATTACATTTAAAGTTAATAACCTTTTTATTTGTTTAATAACTTTATGAAAACGTAGTTGTTTGCACGAAGACGTAGACTTTTCATGTGTTTAACTGATACAGCATTGAGAATGGACCTAGTTTGGTCACATAATCTAGCGCAAAAGTACAATTTTAAAAAATGACAGATATTTCTCTACTCATAAACCAGACAGAAAGTGTTACAAACGGACTTGGTTGATAGTCTCGGAAGAGGAACAAACAGTACTTCTTAGGAAGATGGAACACTTTCAATTATTTTTTCTAAAAGAGGGTGCAATGCGGAATCGGTAAAAATTATCCAAGTAAGCAGGCAACCTTACGACAAACGTTATACAGGGTTATTCATAATTCCCTCCTCCTGTAAGCGCCATTTTTCTTTACTACAACTGGCTTCTGTGGTACATGTTACTGCCATCTACCGGCAACTGCTTGAATTAAAACTTGAATACTTTCGGAATAATTTATACATTCTTTTTTGCCATATTCGTCTTCGTTTTTTTAATATAACGCTTCGAAACCCCGGAGGGAATTATGAATAGCCCTGTATTTTGATTAATTCATCCTCGATTTCAGAAGGTTTTACTATCCTTGTTTGGTAAAGACAGATTCAATCTCGATATAAAAGGGTTGTTTATGTAAGCTTAATACGAACATCATAGCGCGTAAACACTAGCATAGTTACATTTTACATTTTTTCAACCTTGCACGGTTTATTTGCTAATCATTTATAAACCTTGTTGGGGTTTGCAATAACGGTTGCTGCTAACATTAAAATCAACCTTACACTGCTATCTGATAAATTTTTTAATCTTTCAGAATATATAGATCGCATCTGATTTTAATTGTTCTTTTTCACTCACAGGCGGATTTCATATTACCAGTTACAATAAAATTTTACTTTACAAATGTCACTATTTTGCCATGTGATCTGGGACGAAGACGATAAAACAGATTTCTTAACCTAAAAATCTATAAGACTTACATTCCCTGGAATTAATCTTTTATACAGCCTTCTACCATTTTGACATTTAATACAATAAAATTAAGAATTTCAACTTCCATTTTAAAAGTCATGAAAAGTTGAGATTTTTTCATATAACCGCGCATGGAAATTACATTCCACGACTACCTTGTGCACTAATGTGCTCCGTAGCTACATTTTCAGGCTTTTACTATAAACTAGTAAGTTAAACAATTATCACTGGGTTTCATACTATTAAGTTGTGTACTAAAGTTAAGTTCTCATTTTCGAAATATCATAGTTCTCTGTTAATATACAAATTAAGCATATCAAATTTAACTAACGAAATTATTTCTAAAACGTTTTTGATAGTTTCACTGTTTTGGTATTGTAACGATTTTAGGTCATTTTGCAACATTTTAAAAATTTTGATTTCTTAATAGTTTAGATACATGATTGTACACTCACTTCTGTCTCACTGTTTTCAGGAATTGAATCAGTTGTTTTCAAAGCACTTTTAAAAGAATTAATTTCTTCTTTCCTCATATTTATCGAGTAGGTGATGGCTTTTTCAAAAATCTCAAAGACTTTAAAATCCTATAAAAATTAAATGGTTAACTTGTTTCCGTACTTTGAACTAAATCTTTTTAATTATTTTCTTATTAAACAAAAGTAAAAGTTGTATTTTGCATATTTAAAATAAAACTGAAATTGAACTAAAACTGAATTAGACTGAAAACCATTAAACTGAATTAAAACTTAACTTTCTTCATAATTTTCCCCTCCTATGTATTAATAATGAAAGTTTGGAAATGTAGGTTTTGTTTCAATTTGCAAAGAAATAGCAGCCATAAGAATATATACTTAACTTATACAGTCTATAGACTACTCCATATACTATTTGCGTAGTCTATAAACTACAAAGAAAAGCTGGTATTTTCAAAAAATATAGTTGCATTAATATTGGGATAAAAATATTGAATTCAAGCTATCGAAATTATTTAGTATCACCTCATATGGTATTGGTTTGTTTATATAATTCAGTGACATAAGTGAACACTTGAAAATATTTTTCAATCCTTAAGAGACAAACTAATAAATAATATAAAATCTATACAGTTTGCGAAACATATTTCTTATTTTTATGAATTTCAACTTACACTTTTAGAAAATTGTTTTATGAATTACTCATGAATAAAATTTCTGTTAATTCCTCAATGTTATTCCGACTTCAGCAATTCTATAATGCGACGTTGTTTATCTATCATGCATGACATTAACTGCATTTAAAGTTATATTTAAGGTTAAAGTAAACTATTTACGTTAAATTAAACTATTTAAGATACACTTACCTCCTTTTCAACTTTTTTTACTTTTATTTTCAATTTTTCAAGATCCAATTTCATTTCTTGAATTTTTTCTTTTAAAGTATTGACAGTATTGTCGAATAAATCTTTACAATATGCTTGAAATACTTTTACCTAAATTCAAATAAATTCTATAATGAAGTTTTAAAAATATTAGTTGTAGGAAAAGAAATGTTTCATTTTTTCAATACCATCATACATAAAATAGAATTTATAGAATTTATAATCATAGAATTATAGAATTTATTGCATGATTATTAATTCATGAAATCATATTAAATATACAGAAAGAATTTTTGAATAAAAATTTTAGAGTATTCTATGATCTCTGAGATTAATAGGACTAGTGAACTCCACCAGTTCTCGCTTGTGATCTCCTACCTCCAAAAACTACAAGGCAATCTTATATAATTGACTATGCGAACCAAGCAACCAAATGTATCCTTACATTTAGCAGCATAAGTGATTGCAGAAATTGCAGTGAAATAGGAATAAATGCAGAATGAAGAAAAGTTTCCCATCTCTCAAATTGAAGCATCCGTCTTGGAACCTGTATTCTCATTGTTTTAGATACATGATAAAATATTTGATAAAATATTTCGACTGCTAAATACATAGGCCATAAAAACACAATCACTTAGAAGTATTAGTCATAGAAATTTTATTACTGTTACTATTTCCTTCCTTTTTTATTAAAACAAGGCGATATTACTGCATTGCCATTTTTTTGCAGTGTACAGTGACTTGCCAAAAATAGAATTACATTAAAACCCTATAGGTTTACAATTTCTTATACAACTAAAAGTTTATAGGAGAGCACAGGATGTTACATACACATACTGGACGTCCAGTATGTTACATACACATACTATAGTCTCTCTCTCTCTCTCTCTCTCTCTCTCTCTCACACACACACACTCTCTCTCNCTCTCTCTCTCTCTCTCTCTCTCTCTCTCTCTCTCTCTCTCTCTCTCTCTCTCTCTCTCTCTCTCTCTCTCTCTCTCTCTCTCTCTCTCTCTCTCTCTCTCTCTCTCTCTCTCTCTCTCTCTCTCTCTCTCTCTCTCTCTCTCTCTCTCTCTCTCTCTCTCTCTCTCTCTCTCTCTCTCTCTCTCTCTCTCTCTCTCTCTCTCTCTCTCTCTCTCTCTCTCTCTCTCTCTCTCTCTCTCTCTCTCTCTCTCTCTCTCTCTCTCTCTCTCTCTCTCTCTCTCTCTCTCTCTCTCTCTCTCTCTCTCTCTCTCTCTCTCTCTCTCTCTCTCTCTCTCTCTCTCTCTCTCTCTCTCTCTCTCTCTCTCTCTCTCTCTCTCTCTCTCTCTCTCTCTCTCTCTCTCTCTCTCTCTCTCTCTCTCTCTCTCTCTCTCTCTCTCTCTCTCTCTCTCTCTCTCTCTCTCTCTCTCTCTCTCTCTCTCTCTCTCTCTCTCTCTCTCTCTCTCTCTCTCTCTCTCTCTCTCTCTCTCTCTCTCTCTCTCTCTCTCTCTCTCTCTCTCTCTCTCTCTCTCTCTCTCTCTCTCTCTCTCTCTCTCTCTCTCTCTCTCTCTCTCTCTCTCTCTCTCTCTCTCTCTCTCTCTCTCTCTCTCTCTCTCTCTCTCTCTCTCTCTCTCTCTCTCTCTCTCTCTCTCTCTCTCTCTCTCTCTCTCTCTCTCTCTCTCTCTCTCTCTCTCTCTCTCTCTCTCTCTCTCTCTCTCTCTCTCTCTCTCTCTCTCTCTCTCTCTCTCTCTCTCTCTCTCTCTCTCTCTCTCTCTCTCTCTCTCTCTCTCTCTCTCTCTCTCTCTCTCTCTCTCTCTCTCTCTCTCTCTCTCTCTCTCTCTCTCTCTCTCTCTCTCTCTCTCTCTCTCTCTCTCTCTCTCTCTCTCTCTCTCTCTCTCTCTCTCTCTCTCTCTCTCTCTCTCTCTCTCTCTCTCTCTCTCTCTCTCTCTCTCTCTCTCTCTCTCTCTCTCTCTCTCTCTCTCTCTCTCTCTCTCTCTCTCTCTCTCTCTCTCTCTCTCTCTCTCTCTCTCTCTCTCTCTCTCTCTCTCACACACACACGCACACGCACACACACACAGGAAAAGCAAGAATGACGTGCAAAATTTAGCAAAAATTATCATTGCATAATTTTTGATATCGCTTTAATAAATAGTGTTACAATAAACCTGTGTTTTTAAACCCAATTTCATTGACTGTTACTATGGATGTAAAAAGGGGTGAAAAAAGAGCTAATGAAATTAAAACTATAAGCAGCTGATATTAGTAGGTGATTCTGTGGTAGAAGAACGATTAGAAATTATAATTTTACACAGGTTTTTTATATGAATGTCAATAAAATTATCATGTATTCACTTTTATCAGCCAAGCATAGACACAGATACATCAGTCAATCTTAAATACGATTATCTTTTGGCCGAATATATATTTAAAATTAATTTCATGTGAGGCGTGATAGACAAACTCTTATATCCCAGAAAAACTTAAAAACACAGAAATTTAAATAAATACATACATCTATATCTTCCTCTTCTATATCTGTGTTGATGTCAGAATTCTTCTTTAAGGTCTTCATTTCGGACTTAGCCTTATAAGGGAAATTAAATTCAGATTGAGTTGAATTTTTTTTTATGTACAATAACGAAATTAACACTTAAAAATAAAAAAAGAGAGTAACTAAATACATACATTTATGTCTTCTTTTGCTTCCTCTTTAATGGCAGCACTCTTTTCAACAATGTTTGTTTCCACTTCGTCCTAATTAAGAATAAAATTTGTACTCCTTCTACATCCTTGGTAGTTTTATATTATGCTTTTTTTTTTCACTGTCTCATAATGACTTTCCAATGTAAATAGTGAAAAAACGGTAGCGTTTATATAAGAGTAAAATCGGTCAGTAAGTGAATCAGGAAGAATTTACCAAAAGTGCAAATTATTACCTTAATTCAAAAATGGGTAGAAGCGAGACGGAAAAGATGAAAAGCTGGTAGTAAAACCATTTCAGTTTTAACATGCTTTAGGGAGGGATAAATCTATTCCCTTTTCCAACTATTCACCATTATCTACTTTTTCTCAGGAAAGAAACCGTTTTATATATATGCTATAATTGTAAGAAAAAATCTTGGTAGTTACAGAAATTTAATGTTTCTCGAAAAAAATTACTAGAATGAAATGCCTTTCGGACCAATTTTTGCTCGTTTCCGTCTTGGTATATAGAGACTTTCAGCCCTGAATTTAACTGATTATCTTATTCAGCAAAACACTTTTTATCAGTAGTTGAAGACTTTTTAATGCGCTTGTTTTAGTTATTAAATATTTAACTGACTTTAAACTAAGTAATTCGAGCTCTAAAACAATGAGATCTTAATGAGTTACAAAAAAAAAACCCAAATGGTATGAAAACATCAAACTTCCTTTAATTTTGATATTCTGTCTCATCCGTCATTTGTTCAATATTTACCTTGAACTATACGAAACAATTTTTTACAGCTTCATGGCTCGGCTATTAATTTTTTTCTTTACATATTTACAAATATACTCTTGGCAAATAACATTTTTTTCATTTTCTCTACCAATAGTTTACGCAGAGTAATGATTTTTGATAAGTAATGCTTTATTTTGCCGTTATATTTGTCACATGAGCGGACCTGTCTGTGAAGAGGTCAGGGTCTTGCGTCAGAAAGGTTCTGGGTTCAAATCCCGGACAAGGCATGGATGTTCTTTCATTCTCTGTACTGTCTGTCCTTACTGTGAGAGCAACTTCGGCTCACCTAATATGGTGCCCCTAGAAGAATGGCCAACAAATCTGCCCTTCAGATACCTGTATGATTTAGGTCATTCTCCAGGTGGGCATTAGAAAAAAAATATTTCTCCCATGAATGACCTTTACAATTTTGTATTTAGGTGTATTTTTGCACTTCTTCTCCTACATGCGCAATACATTTGCCCAAGCACAATTATTATAGAACAGGAATAATAAAGAGCATTTTGCGTCAAATCTTTAAATATATGTATATTTACAGTTGTTACCTTCTTTAAACTTTCCGCAAACATCTTCACATTTTGGGATTTCTCTATTAATTCTTCAATTTCATCGTTCTTTCTTCTGATGTTGATATTTAATAATTGGATGCAAGTCGAAATTATTAAAGAATCCTGCTGCAATGCCAGAAGAGAAATTAATTAATTAGACATTTAAGGTTTGTAAGGTCTAATCTATTGATTAATTTTGTAACTAGAAGGATCTTCCTGATAAAATGTTTAAAAATATAGTTTTCTCGTAGCGAGTGGTACGTGTTTGTGACAGTGAACTATATTTAAAGAAATTTATAAAGTTTTAAGTGACATTTTTGGGGGGAAAATCGAGGTCATGGGTTGAAATTATATTTTAGTCTCATTTAATTATAAAACATTAATTGATTTTTCAAATCTTTTCATTTCAGAGATTTCTAAGAATGAAAATACTAAATGACAATCTTTGAGTTTTTTCGGAGTGGAAGAATGTTCCAAAAGCATTTGGTTGACGGATAACCTTAAAAAGATTCTCTTTTGACAGCATTATAAAATGCCTTGAGTGCAAAAGCTACGTGAACATTTCACCAAAATTTTAAGGATTTATGCATTTCACAAATCGGAAATTTTCAAGTTATAAATAAAGGGAAAACGCAATTATTATCTATTTTTATTAGGAATTGCCAGCGATTTAACTTCTACGATAACGTTCTCAAATTCTCTAAAAGGTGACTTAGAACCTTCATTCACTCAGTATTTTAATTATTAGTAGACCGAAGAAAAGTATGGTCAAAACTGCGGGGTTTTCGTAAAATTTACCATGTCTCTGGCTCTATGAGAACATCAAAAAACTTGCTAATTTTTTTCGAAGATTTTGGTGAAATTACGAATGAAATATTGTTCTTATATGTGTGCTAAAATTTTATAATTTTATCATTGTACTATAGAGTGTGGCATGAAAAAATCATTTATTCGGATAAATTTACTTTTCAGTTTTGTATTTTTTGCTAATTATGTGGCAAAAAGAGTTATGATTTTAAAACCAGAATTACTGTAAACTGTGACCGTTTGAATGGAAAAAATTACCAAATGACTGGTTTAAATTCCGTATATTTTAGTTTTTATTAACTGAATTACAGCTTTTTTTTTTTATCAGAATTACCATACAGTACATTAATTTTATCAGAATTTGTTTTTCTCTGAGTAGAACTTCAAATTTTCATACACATTTTTTATTTTGAAGTGTGTTTTATCAATGAAACTGTCCATGGTGTATGACATGTATAATGTTGGTAAAATCTGTAATGTGGTCCTCACCATCAAGTATTACCATGTAACAGGCAGTAACGTTTCCGAAATATTAAACTGATACAAATTTTTAATCAACAATGTTGTCTCTTTCAACTAAATAAAAAATTAATAACACAAATGTGCAAATTGACAAAGAGCGCCTGTTCGACGAAAAAGCGATCTGCACTATAAGATTTATTAAATTATTTTTAAATAATATTTTTAAGAAAAAACTTTCGAAAATGTCGGTAATTTACGCGAACATAACATGCATTTATAGGAATTTGATGATGTTTTTCTTTAGTCACTATTTTCACTAATTTCATACCATTCAGTCTGAAAAATAAAAAAATTATGAAAATCACTTTAAAAACAATTCGTATTCAATCAAGTTTTTAAAAAAATTAAAATATTTTTACAAAAAAAACTTAATCGATTTATTTTTTTACTCAATGTTACAAACGTTTTATTTTCACTATTATTGCGAGAAAAACAGAATATCTCTTATTAAAATTTAGCCAAATATTTTTATTTAAAGATTAATGCTTTATATTACGCACTTCTCTATATAATATGCTTTCAATAACATAATTAGTTTGAATCAGCACAATCGTCCCATTCATGATCTTTTAAATTTGAATCAGTTATTTGAATTAAGAAAAAAGAAAGCTAATACGAATCAAAGCATTTTATGTAGTTCTTAGGAGAGGAAAAAACATTTTGCTTCGTATTCCTGTCTATTTTTTTCTACACGTATGCTATAGTTTGAACCAATATATAACTAGTTAGTTATTTTCAGTTATAGTACTCACTGTGGAACTTTCGAAAATTCCTTTCAGCATTTGAAGTTCTTCGTCCGCATCTTTAACTCCTCCTTTAGCTCTCTCAATGGTAAAGGAGCATAACTTCTTAATAGTTGTAAAAACATCATTCAACTAGTCAAAATGTTTAACAAATCAGCAAGAGTTTGAAGCAATTAATGTAAATAAGAAATATGCTTAAAATAAATAAAAATGAACTCTATCAACTTTTTAATTCATAATTTTTAAAAAAAAATATTTTCACATCAATATTAACCGAATCAAATTACTTAATAACCACAATTTAACATAATAATTAGGCAACATGCTAAATAACACAACTCTTTGAGTTTTTTTTAAGGCTATTCAAAAGTACATAATATAAAAAGTATAAAATATTTTATTTTAAGGCTATTATAAAGCATTTTGGGGCTATTTATTAGAATTATAGAAAGGCATCATTTGTTATCGTTAAAAAAAACTATTCTTCATAGGCTGCGCTAAGAAAAAAAACTGAAAAATAAAGACATTCCATTTAAATCATTACAATAGAGGTATTAAAATTCATTTATAATTAACATTATACCTTCACTTTGTATATTGCTGAGAAATATCAGTTTAAAAAGATCAAGCATTCAACGTTCCTTATTGTATTCAAAAAGCAGTATTTTTTAGCCCAAAAGAAAAAACCCCATAAGAAAAACTTTCATTATCTAACCAATTGGAGCTATGCGGAACGATAAAGGGACAACTACTGACTATACCTGCAGCAGAGATAAATATTAACCTTACGTTTTTTATTTTAAATTTAATATTAAGAATTATAAATTTATATTTTTATTTTTAAATTTATAATTTCATTCAAGTAATTTTCTACTTTAATTTTGCAATCGATAAAATTTCGCAATCAGAGTTTACTTATATTTACTGCCCAACAAATTTTCAATCAGACAAACCTCAGGAGTATACATAATATACTAAAAAAACTAAAAAAACATGCGAATATTATAAACTACATTTCAAAATACTGTACAGACATTTACTCCTGACAATAACAGCATGCCTATGCATTACTAAACGTGGTCAGAAATTCTCACAACAAAAATAACAAAACTGTTAATTTCAATCCTGAACCATATTAATAATAAAGCCTTTCAAAAATTGTGAAATATTATTATCAATTCACAACTAGCCTATTATTATCAAGTCCATGCATTTCTTGAACACAGAGTAAAAGACTCAATTTAAAAAGAAAAGTCATGACATGCATGGATGCTACCTTAACTGGGTGAGGTAGGCAGCAACCTCGACTCGAACCGCGTAGGCTTCTCTAAATTTTAAAGATAACCTAATCGTCCAAGTTTTGTAAAGGAAGTGTCGAAAAATTCGTTAGCGTCACATCAGGTATGAGATGACCTCACCTATACCTAATTGTTGCATTACTTTGAAATAAACTGAAAAGACAATATTGGTCTAACAGAATCATAAGCAGAATATTTTTTGGGGAAAATTAACGCTTGTAGAAATAAATAAGATGAAAAAAAAAGAATGACAGTAAAATAAATTAAAAAATATTCTTTTTGCTTTGATTATAAAACGAAATATAAAAATATTTAAATGAGAGTATCTCATAAATTATTAAAAATAATGCAACATTGATAATTATCTCGCTTATATTACCCATTTGTTTTGAATTTTATTCTATTTTATAACCATCGTTGAACAGCCGACCCAATTTTATGGGTTTACGACTACTAATGTACACCTTGTAATTTTGAACCTTATCTGTAAGGCAAGGGAACTCCTGGATCTAGTATTGGGAGAAATTTGTTTTCGTGGAGGACTTTTTTAATGGAGCCAACCCACATTTGCGTTACAAAGAGAGGCAGACCACAAGAACCTCCCACGATTAGCCTGTTGGCAAGGGGACTCTAACCCATGATCCGTCTACCACTGAGGATATTTCACGTCAGCACTGTGGTCGGTGCAAGCTGGATCCGGAATTCATATCGACTGGGATTCGAAACCGGTTCGCCGCATTGGAAGGCGAATGCTCTATCCCCTGAGACTTCGTGGCTCATCTGTTTTGATTTTTTACATATATATCCGTTGTTGAAAAGCCGACAAAATTTTGGGTTTACGACTACAATGTTCAACTTCGTAGCCTTGTAATTTTGAACCAATCCAGTAGACAAGGAAACTCCTGGCTCAGTACCCCCAGAGGTATTGATTTGTTATAGGAACGTGGAGGACTTTGCGACTCGACAGATTTAACGTGCATCAGTCACCATTTACTACACGGTGAGTCTTCGGCCGGTGGGCATTGAACCCACGAACTTTTATACATGAGTCCAGTGCCCTACCAACCAGGCTATCCCGGCCTTTAATAATGACATGATCTGTATTGAATTTTATTTTATTTTATAACCGTCGTTGAACAGCCGACCCAATTTCATGGGTTTACGACTACTTACGTTCAACTCCGTAGCCTTGTAATTTTGAACCAATCCAGAAGACAAGGAAACTCCTGGATCAGTACCCCCAGAGGTATTGATTTGTTGTGGGAACATGGAGGACTTTGAGACTCGACAGATTTAACGTGCATCAGTCACCATTTACTACACGGGGAATCTTCGGCCGGCGAGGATCGAACCCACGACCTCTTGGATATGGGCCCAGCGCCCTACCGACCAGGCTATCCCGGCCCTCTGTATTGAATTGTGATTTGTATAGTTTAAAGAATGAAAACGTTTATTCCGTCTCCTAAACCAAAGGATAGATACCTTTTGAGTGCTTGTTTACCTCGCCTGTAAAATTTGCTATAATTGTTATTCCTTTGCCTTAAAACTATCGTTCTTGACCGCGGAGTTCTTTTTATATCGCAGATTCTATTATACATAAAGATAATTACGAATCCAGAAAAGTTTCTTATTCACACTTCAGTAATTTTATTACTTTACCACAATATCCTAGAATTAGTTGCAATTTTAAATCAATTTGATTTTAAAGTTGTTTTCTCACTTGTGCATAAACCAAATTTCAAAAACTTTGAAGAACTCATAGCTGACAATAATGGGAGACATATTTATTGAACTTATTTTAAGCGTGATCTTTCAGATACTGGACAAACCAACCCTTCCTCTTCAATTTAAAAGTTATAAAAGAAGTGTTTGCTATTAGACTGAGATATAATACTAAACCGTGATACCATGCACAGCTGGATTTCTAACCACATTTAAGTTTTCTTCTCCCAAAATTAATCAACATTGCCCATGAGGTGCTGATCTAGATTTCTGGGAATTATTTCAGATTTGGAAAACTCTGATAATTAATATCATCGACTTTCTAGCATCCCATTCTTCCCAAAAGATAGGAAATCAATTTTCTTTTAATTCTGCATTTTGACATATCTGGGGTTCTCACCCCCCCCCTCCCCTCCAAAGTACACCCACATATTTTTTTCCTCTTAAACCTGTACTTTTGATTGACATCCTTATCCGATCTTGTTTCCATTTCCTATTGAATCTATCCCTCCTTTCTTTACTGTAACTTATTTGTAATTTTATTCCCATCTATGTGTTGTCTATCATCTATCATTTTGTGTTTCAACAATGAAGTAAATTCTTCATTACAGAACTAAAACAATCAGATTTCTGTTTTATGTGGCATTTGTTTTCTTTTCACGTTGTTTAAGCTTGGTTCAATAAAAACTGGGCCGTACCTTCTTCACTTTAGCAAAGGATTGCTCTCTATTCTCTTTACCTAACTCATCAACAAACTGCTTTGTTTTCATCTCAACATCATTCAAGGAAACGAGTTGTTGCTGAATGTTATTGATTTCTCTCATCTTCATTTCCATGGATCCAATTATAAGATCTTTACACACTGAAGTAACCTATAAATATAAATTGCAGTCAGTGTTCAATTGTGAAAGAAACTAAAAACAATTCATAAACTTTCACTATTATTTTTTTTTAACTATTAAATTATGTAATCTTGAGTTTTATTCAAAATTAAGATTGTTTTTTACACCGTTTTTCATAGTTTAGGAGAGGCAAATCTTTTGGTCTCCTTACCCGTCTTCACCCTTGCTCTGAGTATATCGAGACCTATTAGGTATCTCTGACCTAACCTTCAACTGAAATTCCTTAAATAATAACATTAAGAAGTTTAAAATCATCTTCAATTAGGTATAAGCAAAATAGTTTTATATCCGTCGTTGAACAGCCGGCCCAATTTTTGGGTTCACGACTTCTAATGTTCAACTCCGTAGCCTTGTAATTTTGAACCAATCCAGAAGACGAGGAAACTCCTGGATCAGTACCCCCAGAGGTATTGATTTGTTATAGGAACATGGAGGACGAAGCAAAATAGCATCATTTTTCGCCAAATAGAATTAACCACCAATCAAAATTTTGACCAATATAATCGAAGGTTTGAATATCAAATAAAGCTTTGCGCCTGATGATAATCGTTCAATTATTCAAATTATAATCAAGTACCAATCGGTTCTTGACAGCTTCAAACTGAATTCACCTACAACAGAAGAAGGAGTATATAAAGGAATGGCGTAACACCACTGCTTTTTTTTCACCTAATTTTGATAAATTCCATATTTTCCTCAATTCTGCATTTTCTTTTCTTAATTTTAATAGCTTATTTTTCAACTTACCCTAAAATTTGTTTATTTCTGTTGTATTTTATATTCTATCAATTTACTATTTTTTAAATTGACAAAAATGACTAAGTTAAGTGTGTTTTAACTGCAGCAGGCATATTTAACTCGTGGTACCAAAGTCACCAGCTACATCTTCTCCCAAATTTTTCCATTCTAGATAATTCCGTAAATTATATTGAAACCTTGGGTGCTGTCTCATTATCTCTACACAGTCCAATTAAACTTTAGATCATTTTCCGGCAAAAATAAAGTAACTGTCTTACACTAAAATTTTTCAAACTTAAAATTTGATTTTCTAGCTCAGTGGTTACCAACTGGAGGCTCGCGGGCCACATCCGGCCTACGAAGCCTTTTTTGTGGCCCGCGAACTAAAATATATTATTTGTCCTTTTTTTTGNCATAGCACCACTGCTTTTTTTCACCTAATTTTGATAAAATTCCATATTTTCGTCAATTCTGCATTTTTTTTTTAATTTTAATAGTTTTTTTTAAAATTTACCCTAAAATTTGTCTATTTCTGATATATTTTATATTCTATCAATTTATTATTTTTTAAATTGACAAAAATGACGAAGTTAAGTGTGTTTTAACTGCAGCAGGCATATTTAACTCGTGGTACCAAAGTCACCAGCTACATCTTCTCCCAAATTTTTCCATTCTAGATAATTCCGTAAATTATATTGAAACCTTGGGTGCTGTCTCATTATCTCTACACAGTCCAATTAAACTTTAGATCATTTTCCGGCAAAAATAAAGTAACTGTCTTACACTAAAATTTTTCAAACTTAAAATTTGATTTTCTAGCTCAGTGGTTACCAACTGGAGGCTCGCGGGCCACATCCGGCCTACGAAGCCTTTTTTGTGGCCCGCGAACTAAAATATATTATTTGTCCTTTATTTTGCTGACAATTTTCGTAAAAACTCTGCTTTATGGGTTTAAAACACTTTTCTTTCGTTAAAAAAAAACCTAATTTCTTCGCTTCTGTGAAATTTAACATACTAACGGTGCAAAAACAATTTTTTCTCAGGTAAAAATCCACTTCTTATTTTAGTCTGTAATTCAATACCTTTATTTTGTACAATTTGATAAAAATCTGACAGTAATATTTAATATTTAATGTTCCTTCAAATATAAAATTTTTATGAAGTGGCGGCCCGCCATTTGACTGGTGCTTTTAATTGCGGCCCCCGGCCTCGTGTAAGTTGGAAACCCCTGGAGCTAATTTAGGTTTCTCTGAATACTGAATGAACTAAAAATGCTAACTCGCCTTGATAAAGAAATTGATTTATTGATTGAAGAAATTGATTAAAGAAATATTTCCAGAAATTCTTTAATATTAAGTACTTCACGCAAACCAATTCCTACGAATCAGTATTTTTATGGAAATTGGAATATATATGCATTTTATTTCTCTGCGAGAGAACGAAAATTCCACATTAAAAAGACGTTATTCTTATATTTTAATTAGCTGTTCTAGATATGCTTGGAAGACTATGTACCTCAGATCTTAAATTTTCGAGATATCCAGGCTCTGAATTCAGGTTATTCATCAATGTTTTTTCGTTATTCTCTAAAGAACACAAGGCTTCCTTCATTGAAGACAAATGTTGTTGTCTCATTTCTATGAATACATGAAACAGTTCTCTGTATTCTTTAGCTATTTTAGATGCCTGAAAAAAAAGTTTCTGTACGTAAATAAATATTAAGAAGTAAAAGACAAAATTGCACTGAGAAAAAATTATGGTAAAACCTATCAGAATATGATAAAATGTACTGTGTTTCTGGTCCTATGAGAACACCAAAAAAGCATGGTAATTTGCCAACCAAAGTGCATTGCAAACGGTTTTTAAAAAATTGACTATAAAATATGGTATTATAATATGCGAAATAATTTGGTTGGTAAATGAGATTAAATTTGTCTTTTTATGGTACCTTCAAGCACGGCATAAAAACCATTTATTTGGTTAAGTTTGTTTTTCAGTTTAATATTTTTTACTAAGTGTGTGGTAATAAGAACTAAAATTTTAAAAACCAGAATTTCCGTTCAACCGTTACCATATGAAAAGTAAAATTACCAATTGAATGATTTAAATTCCGTATATTTCTGTATTATTAACCAGAATTATGTATTTTTTTCTACCAGAAGTCATTACCATGGTAGTACAATAATTTTACCAGAATTGTTTTCTCCTATAGCTTAACCCTAAACTATTTTATTTTGTAAGCAAACAAACTACCCGGTAAAGAAATTTTTACTCGTTTCCTATATTTATACTATTGTGAATAGCTTTCTGATAATTAATATTGCTCTTTTAGTTCTAGAATTTTTCCACCAAAGCAAAAAGAAGGGAAAAAAATGCATTTAATGCTTTTAATGAAATCCGGAAAATGTTCTGCTTTAATACTAAGCAGAAGCATTTTTAAATGAAGGGGTAGCTATAACTAAACTATTTCAATAAATGAATAAAATTATTTTCCTGACTTACTTTAGTTAGATGCTTACTTTAATTGATAACTTACTTTAGTTAGATGCTTAAGGAAGCTAATTTCAACAAGCTCTAATTTATGAACCTAAACTTTTTTTTTAAAAAATTCAAAATTTAAATATTTTAGCATTGAAATATGATGTAGCATTAAAATGCACACTTGTTTGTAGCATTAAAAAAGCTGTATGAACACATTTAACGTTATACAAAACTTAAAACAAAGTTTTATACAAACGTCAGAGTATAGATTAACTATATCAACTCTTACATTCGATTTATGAAAAAGAACTGAAATATTTTACTTCATATTTGATTGTGCTTTTCTCTTGTTCCTCAAATGATAGTTTCGTCATTATTTTCTCGGATGCCAATTTCATTTCTGACTCCCCAGAAGTAATTGCTTTAAGAAAGATACCTTTACAAGACAAAACACTCTGCAGAGCCTAAATACAATGAATATATGTTGTTTCGGTATCAGATAACTTGAAAATAATTATATGAATACAAGTTGCGCACTTTTTAAGTATTAAAATTTAAAAAAAAAACATAATGCGAAAGGTAGTGGAACTTTGGAATCCCCTCGAAAGAATTTGCATTAGAAAGTAAATTTCATGGCACGAAACTTAAGTAAAATTGGAAAAGATTTAAAACTTTGAACTATTCTTGAATTACAGTTTTTAAAAATTTATGTCACTCACTTAGGGGTGTGCATTCCGTGAATAGGGGTGTATGGAAATAAAATGTTACATATTTGTATGGGAACTATGTACTTAGAAAACAGAAGAAATAATTTAATCTCTATAATTCATATTTTAATAAATATTTCTCTTAAGTGGCACCATAAATTCAGAAATTTTTCTATGCATTGGAAACACTATAGTTATTATTCATTTTGTTAGGTTAAGCAATAATTTAAGTAGTTTTATATCATTAGTTATACGTTAAGTATTTATTTATATTCATTTTGTTGGGTTATATTAAGTAATTAATTAAGTAGTGTTAAATAGTTAGTTATGAACGAAGATTTGGATTAATTTTTTATCCTTTCTAAAATAGCTATAGAAATTTCAAACATAAACGTTATAGTGTCTCATATTGCAATACTAATTATTGGGCACGGAGCTTGTTGTTTTGAGCAATAGCGTATATATGTTAGACGAAACTCAAGTTATGGATCTATTAATATGTTAGTGAAGAGATTGACATTAAAGTTTAGGTGTTTACAAGATAGTTTTGATGTGTTACTAAGCTGGTCGCCAAAGATGGCTAGTAATTTTATAAAATAAGCGTGGAACAAAAATCTTCAAGTCAGACTGACAGTTGTTATGAACGATGATATGTTCATGAAATTATGTTCGATAACATATCAAAAATGTAGTAACAAGAAACAAGTAAAAACAACTAGATTTTTCTCAAGCGGCAATGTATAACAAAGTATTTTTTTCTTAATTATACAAACAAATAGTAAGAATAGTTACTCTTTGCACTTTTTCTTTAGTTTTCTTTTTCTTTTCGGGCATTTTTAGTTTTTCTAAATCTATTAGAATATTCTCCATGAATTCATTTTTATTTTTAACAACAGTAGCAACAAAACTTTTGCATGAGAGAAGAAATTCAGAAACCTACAAATTAAAGGCATAATTTGATCATCATTTTACTATGCAAGAAATTTTACATAAACTAAAAAAAAATATTAAAACTACCAGCAGAAAAAAAAATCTCGATAACTTTAAATTAGCAATTTACGTTGTCAAATTCATCATTTAAACGTTTGAATAACGTGTGTATAACTCTGTAAAATCTTTAAAAGATTAAAAACTTCAAAAATCAAATATATATTTCTAGCTGAATTTTAAACATATCTGCACAGCATCTGCAATTATCAAGAAATGTTGAAAAAAATCTTCCTCTTTAGAATAAACTATAAATACCTAATAAGTAGTTGACTGGCAGTTAATTAAAATTTCGTAGAAGGAATTTTAACACTATTTTTTCAAAAACAACATTAACTTGTGAAGTCACAAACCAAAAGTTTTTTCAAAAAAGCAAATAGTAGGAAAAAACGGAAGCGTTTTAAAAAATTTAATTATAATGATTTATTTACAAAATATTTTATTTTACTATTTTACAGCTATTTTACAAAATATGATTGACAAAAAGCACTGAGTAAATACAAAAAAAAATAAGCAGAAAAGATTTAAAAATACCTCCTTCATTTCGTCATAATTTTTATTGCCATCTTCTTCTTTCTCTTCTGCATCAACTTCAGCAATAATGTTTTTTATTTCTTCCATAGTGAGCTTAGTAACATCAGAGGTCTCGTCTGGATCCTATTCAATATTATTTTAAATTTTTTGGATTATATTTGTCTATCAAATAATTAATTTGCGAACTTAAAATAATCTTAAAATATATTTTGATATCAAAATTGCTAGGTGCAGTACTTTGAATTTCTTTAAGTCCATTTAGACTGCATTTATTGGAAATAAAACTGGAATCTTATTTATCTTCGTGACTATATGACTTATTTATCTTCGAAATAGGCATGCTTTTTGTTAAACTATATGCTCAAGTTCAATAAAAGAAGAGAAAAAGATAAAACCAACACTATCATATGAAACTCTTATTTGAAAAGTCGTTCAAATTTATTTATTAAAATAAAATAGAGTTACATTTTCTTTACGTTAATGCTTATACGAGTCATTTCAATCTCATTTTTAAAAACTATTACAACTCCAACTTATTTCTGCTGCCAAACTCTGCTGTCATTTCTATTTGATTTTTAAACTGAGTACATCTTTTGCTTACTTTTTCTGCCAAAAGTGTTTATACCAATGGGGTATGAGTAGCAATAAGATAAAATAACAAAACGAAGAAGAGCAGATAAGAAGCGTTTGCAATGGAAATAAGGTGAGAACCCAGGTGAGCAAGTGCAAGACACAGAAATAAAAATAAAATGTATTTCAAAAAATTTGGAATTAATAGGATGTTAGAAAGAGCATTAATAAAGTAATTAAAATGTTACAAAACCTGAAATGATTTGTAGAAATCAATATCAGAGGCTTAGTAAAGAGCAATGTAGAATGATTCTAGCAGAAAGTACAAAAAACGCGGGTATCCTCTATTTCTTGCTACCTTGTTTTTCTTTGTTGCAACTTTTTTTGTGCCGTAATTTTCCTTCTAGACATTCCTGTTTTTTTTCCCTTTCTTTTAACACTGATAGATATTTTTTAATATACGTAGAACCGTAACTTAAAACAGCCTCTTCGGTAACTTTATTTACGTTGCATAACTTCGATACATAGCACAAAGTTTGCCATTTCTTTATTTGAAAACATTAATTAATTATTTAAACTCTATTTATTTAAAAATGAAAAAAATTAAAACTGTTCCACGATTCCAAAAAACCTTTACTATATTAAGTTTTATACATTTATTTATTTTATTTATTGCTCGCACAATTCCTGAAAATCAAGATTTACAATAATCGTCACTTTCAAAAATAATTACTAGTTGCACTAATATTTTTATAATCATTTTTGACGAGCTAATGCTGCAATTTTTTTTGCCCTGTCACAAATTATCTTGCCGATTTTTTTAATCTAACATAGCTCCAAAATTGTTTTGTCTATGAAATAATATTTATCAGTATATTCTTCGAAATAATATTAATCAGATTCATCTTAAAATCATTTTTATGAAACTAATTTCACTATGCTATAATTCATTTTCAGACCTGCTACTATCTAAAATTATTGAAAATATAGATGCATTAAACCAGAGAATATATTTTTTTATGCCTACACTTTTGCGATGAAAACGAGTTAAAAAAATTTACCCTCTCAGTTAAGTTTTCAACATTTTCCGACAACGAGCCAAGATCTTCTAAACTCATCTCTTTTATAAAAAGATCTGTTAAAGGTTTTATTTGATGAGAAACCTGAAAAATTAACGAAAAATAGTGAAATATAGAAACCAAAAATCTGCAATATTTATTTATAAAAAATTTTACGTTGATAAAACAAGATTAAAAATCAGAATAGAAATGTATAATAATTCCAAAAATAGAAATGTATAATAATTCCAAAAAAGTATTGTGAATCACGTGTTAAAACACTTTTTACATATTGCCAAACTTTGACAAATTAGAAATTAAAAAACTACTTTTTTGTTATTATATATGATACTAAAAAAATGTTACTATTATATAAAGAATTTCAGCCTTTGAATTTTATATATTTAGTTAGTGTTTCGGTAACTGGCGAGCTGGGAAGAATAATTTTGTAAAACTGACTTTATTTTAGATCGATATATTTATTTTAAAAATAGATTTTTGTGAAAATATAAAGGCGTCTAAAACAATAACCGTATAAACTAATATCAAACACCAATAAACCAATTTTTAAAGTATAGAATAAATGGCGTTTTATTTATTTCATCTATTCTACCTATGTCAACTACTTCTAAATGTATTTTATATATGAAATTGTTTCATTATATCATGCTATGAATCAGAGTTGGCCGTTGATTACAGTAATCGATTATTTATTTTTTTCTTGCTTCATANTACAAGTAATTGATTACTGTAATCAAAAAATGTAATCGATTACATTTTTGGCCAACTCTGCTATGAATGTGCATTCCTTTTCCCATATTGATGATGAGGATTCTTTTTATATTTGCATTATGATTATTTCAGTGAATGCATTTTTCATTGATTGACAAACAGGAAGACATTCTGATTTAAGTACATATTTTCATAAACAACAGTACTAGTTATAATACAATACACTCAATAATCTCTATATCATCTTCAAAATGTAAAGAAAAATTATGAATGAATTTTTGCGTGATACAGAAACTACATCACTATGTTTGTCTCATACCCTATAAGTTAACGTTTAAAATATTTTTTATTTATTTGTTAGTTTTAAAAACAATTTTTTAATTTCATTTTGTTAGTTCATAAATGAGCAGAATTTTTTGTCCAATTATTTATTTATTGTATCATAAACAGACAGGAAAAATTCTATGCTACGTATAAGGGTTTACCAATCGGAATAATGGAATAAACCTTGCTAACAATTTATTAGCCAAAATATATTTTATCTTCTTCACAATTTTATCTGCTGATTTCAATGAACTTCTGGAAAAGTTTTTTCCAATCGCCAAAACATGTCTTAAAATTGTGTTTGGTAATGCCCCAGACATCAAAAGAATTATCCTTTATCCAATAGTTAGACTCAAACCAATGACCACAAAGGAGAAATTTCAACCTTGGGAATGATGAGTCAAATGATGGTCATATCTGGATAATACGATACTTTTGAGGCTACATTGACGATTGCGAGAACATTGCGCTATTATGATTGAAAATCCATGAGTTTTTAGCCACATCCATGAGTTTTTATCCATGAGTTTTTATTGTTTTCCTCCAATTGACCCTCTAATAATTATCTTTACTGACTGCTGAATCAGTCAGTTGGAATTCATTAATCAGACAATCAAAATAAACATTCGACATTACCTTGATTTTTGAGTTACTTAGGCAATGATCTTTTAATAAATGGTAACAGAAGCTAATGAACTTATTTTTAATTGAGAACTAACCAATTAAAGTATACTAGTTACATAGATTGTTGTCTAACTCTAATTACATTATTAAAAGTTACCATTAAAAGTTACTAGTAGTAAGAGTCACCATTATTAAATGTTGTCACCAGTGAATGTAATTATTTTTTTCTTTATAACCGTCGTTGAACAGCCAATCCGATTTTGGGTTAACGACTACTGATGTGCAACCCCGTAACCTTGTAATTTTGAACCCAATCCACATGACAAGAGAACTCCCGGATCAAGTATTGGGACAAATTTGCCTTCGTGGAGGACTTTTTGATGGAACTAACCGCGTTTGCGTTACATGGAGTGGAAAACCACGAAAACCTACCACTGAGGATAGATTACGTCAGCACTGTGGTCGGTGCGAGCCGGGTGCTGATTTTGAAACGATCTGCGATTGCTGGGATTCGAACCCGGTTCACCTCATTTGAAGGCGAAAGCTCTATCCCCTGAGCCACCGCTGCTATTACTAAAATTTACTATCATTAAAAGTTATTTGTGCTAATTTTGTTGTGATGCTGCTTATCTTAACTGGTCTAGTCAGTAAACTAGACCAGTTCCTTAAGTCCGTATTCGTTCAGAAAATCCAAAACAAGAAGAGGTCTTTATTTCAAATCTTTCCTCTCAAGTCGGAGAGTATTAAACTATTATTAAAAACAGCACAACCATTTTTATAAACTTATATAAACTGAATCTATTCTTTTCATTTAAAACATACTCTAGAGCTCTACTTTTATGAGAAATATTACTCACTCCACTGCCAAATTCTTTAATTAAGTCGGTCAATGTGATGAGAAAATTTTTTAATTTTGCTAAAGATTTTTCTTCTTCTTCAAGAGCTTCTTTTAGAAAAGAACCAATGTTATTATTTACAGTCGAAGTCTAAAAGTAGGCAGGAAAAATTAGAAATCAAGTTTAAAATTGCAACGAATTGTACTAATTGTATTAAAGATTATTAAAACTGATAAGATATTTTACCTGTGCTGCGATGTTTTCTTCAAATTTAGTCAAAACTTCTATATAGTCACACATTTTTGAGATTTGCTCCTTCGTGCTTCCATGAAATTCTCTTAAGATATCTTTTACTTCATTCAGTGATTTAACAACCTAAAGTACCATTTTGAAATAAAATAAATTTTCAAAGTTAATATATCTAATAAGTTAATTGACCATAAGCTACTTCAAATGAAAGAATTGTATTTTTAGCTAAAATGTATATATTTAATTTGAAAAACCATTATTAAACTATAACTCGCATTTCAAAAGCTGTTATTGAATTTTTATTATTCTATATTATTAAAAATTTAAATATGGTACACAAATCTCTTTAAATTCCAAATGTGAAGGCATACCTATCGCTGAAAGCATGTTTTAATTCCTACCTTAAAAAATCTACAAATTAATGAGATATTATTTTAAACAAAAAAGAATCCTATTAAGTAAAAACTTTTGCAATTTTACAACAATAAATGCAATATCATTAAAAAAATAAAGATTTTTTCCATAGAAAGAAAGGAGCATAAAAGAAAATAGTTAAATAGTCACTGTAAAAATTCCGGATCAAATTAAAGTAAAAAGTACCAGTACATTAAGAGTGCCAATACTTTCTTCGTAAATCTGATAAACTGTAATTTGTACAATGATAATTACCGTAAAATCACTGAATCACTTTAATTAAATAAATACTACTGTAAAATGGATTTTCACGGTAAAATGAACTTTACGGATGATGCACCCAAAATGCTGGTAATTCATACCGCAATTTAATCCGTAAATTACAACAATACAACTGTTTAGTCAAGATAAATGGTTAAATTAAATTCAATTGTAATTAGTTTAAATAATAATTTAATAATACACTCAGGGACAAAAAAATTAGTGCACCAAGAAGGAGTCGTCAAAATGAAACGAAATTCTACATGCGTAATGACTACTTTGATATGAGTAAATGATAAGAAAATCAAAAATTATCGTTTTTCTTTGATTTTCTAATCATTTACCTATATCAAAGTAGTCATTACGCATGTAGAATTTCGTTTCATTTTGACGACTCCTTCTTGATGCACTAATTTTTTTGTCCCTGAGTGTATAAAGCATTTCAAAAAAACCTGTTGCGCCTGAAATTATTTAAAGTTTTCAAGACCAATCTGTGGATAGTAATTATGTTGAAATTAAGAAATTATAATTATATTAAGAAATATGACAATATGAAACGACATTATGAAGCAACGTGAGAAACAAAATTTGTGATAAAAATGTTTTAAATAAAGTGCACTAATATTAGGTTGATGAAAAAGGTTCTTTAATGTTGAAAGTATGCTAAAAAAAGTTCAGCTAAAAAAAGCTCAGGCAAAATGTTAAGCTAAATGAAAAAAAGACTAAAAACTAATAACATGATCTAATTTTGTTTGTGTTGTTCAAAGTAAATTTTAGTTGGTAAAAAACAAAATCCCATACTTGCATTTTCTTCAATTGAATAAACAACTAAAGAAAAACAATGATTTAGCATATCTATTAAAAACGTCTTTGTGTTCTTATCAAATACCTAATATAAACTTTATGAAAAATGCAACAAAGAAAAAAAAACTCAAAAGCATTTATTAATTTTTTTTATTTAATTATTATTATTTTTTGATCAAACCAAAATCTTATTGAGATTACTTATTAAGATCTGCATAAATCCTTTAATAAGAGGCACCAAAATAAATGATCAATAACCTAATACACTTTCAACTAATATTACCTTATTTTCATCTTCATCAGTTTTTACTTCATCATATTCAGAACTGAAAAGCGGTTTCATTTCCTTTTCTATATCCTGAAGTTCGCTGGAATTCTTACTAATGGAAAGATTATAGATCTTTTTGCAGGTTGATGACACATTTATTAGCTTTAAAAAAAGTTTTAATTAATTTTCAAATGTGAATTTGCAAATTCAAGTTTAAAGATTTATTTTACAAATAAGCCTTTTATACAATTATTCCATGAAAGAAAAGGATTAATAATGTTATTATCTCTGATAATTTTTCAAAAGAATTTACATCTAAGTATTTTTCCAGTCCTATATTTTATAAGAAGCTATAGAAAACTGCTCCACGTAGAAGTTGCGCACTTTTGCATAGATATAAAAAAATAATAATTGCAAAATTAAAAATAATGCGTACATTTAAGCTGTCAAAAAAGGAATTAAATGAAAGGAACACAAAAATGCCATTTTGAAATGTGCATAAATGAGTTTTTATATTTTATTACTAGTTGAAAATCCTGTCTTCGTACGGGATGAAAGAATAAGCATAAGCAACTCTGAACAAAACTCTATGACAATTTCATACACAAATAAAAAAAAACTAAAATGATGCCTATTTTTCTTTTTTGTTAATTATAATTTGTTGCCCTTCTCGGTGATTTTACATAATTGGATTAAGCCAAACACGTATTTAGTAGTTCATCTCATCAAAATAAAGATTAACGTTTTCAGTATCATCTGGTATAATGCTGTTGCTTGGGGCAAATCATGATGTTTAAAATTTACCACAAGCTAGCTACTTTCTCTTGTACTTGTATCTTCGAGAAGTCATAACAAAAACTGTCCTAAAAATGAACAGTTTCGGTGCAGCTGTAATCGGCATATTTACTCATAAAATGGGGCTGTAAACGGGTGTGCCAGTTGTTTCAAAACAACAATAAATTTCTATTCAACTCCCAAAGACTCCCAAATAAAGAGACAGATTAACTAAAATCCAATTTTGACCAAAACAATGAAAAATAATTCGCGGCTCATGTCGAGTTTACTGACTTATACAATATAAATATCATAAAATCAATTTAAATACATGATGAATTTCAAATTATAGACAAATGTATTTCATGAAAATTAAGCGATACACTTAAGTAATAATAATAATAAAAGTTCAAAAGTTAAAAATCAGGGACGAAAACTTTAGTTCAGAAAGCAAGTGATAATTCATTCATTTAACAAGATAAAAGGTGGACAATCAACGGAATCAATTCAAACCATTTGGTCAGGTTGCAATAAAATCCGGGATAAATAGGATCGTTTCTAATGGTTTTTATTGCACATATTTATTTTACTGTGCAGCAAATATTAATGACTTACTTGCGATAATTCATCAGTCTCCTCCCCGCTCTCCGGTTCACCTTCAGAACTCTCATCATCTTTTTTATCGTAATCTTCCATTGCTTTTACCTGCTCAATAGAACATATTCCTCACAAAAAATTAAATAGTTATTAACATTTAGTTTGATTTTTCACATGTATTACAAAACATTAATATAAATTGAAACTTTTTTCAAAATATAATTTTTAGTATAAAATAATGTATTGAACTTTAATTAGGATATAAACCAATGCTCATTTCATAAACTCTTTTAGAACGAAACAAGAAAAAACTGAAAGGCATTTAATTAAATGAAAAAAAAAACATATTTTAGCCTTGTTTAACTTGCTAATGCTCAAAGTTTTTAACTTGAATTATCAGTAGGTTAAATATATTTGAATGCTAAATCATTTTATAAAAACACCACAAAAAATTTAACTACACTCAAATAAAATTCACTTTTATTCCTGCAGAAGCATACTGATTGAGTTTATTATGAACAACGTGTTTCATATGCATTTTTTTTTAACTTAAAGGAAGATAACCGATATTCACTAATCGTCTTTATCTTTCTTAAACATAGCTTTTTTAGATTCTGAAATCTTATATAAAATTTATTTTTTATGTTATAAGTAATTGCTAAGATATATATTTCCTAAAATTTAAATTTTTTATTTTAATACTAATGATTTTAATACTAAATTTAATTCCTTCCAGCGACAAAGAGCATTGTTGTCATAAAAGATTAATTTAATTTAAGAAAGTTTCTCCTGAATTTGAAGCTTTAATAATTGCATTTTAAAAAGCTAAATTTAAAGTATTAAATAATAAAATAGAACCATGGTGGCTCAGGGGACAGAGCACTTGCCTCCCAATGATGTGACCCAGATTCGAATCCCAGCTTTGGTTGCGAAATTTCTACGCTTACTTACATCTTTTTTTGCCTAAACTTGAAATTGTTGAAACTATATTTTATGTACACTGAGTGGCCAAATTATTATGACAACCTCAGAGTTTTATGCAAATGAGTTATTGCCTCACAGCGCTGCCGCTAGAGGACAAGATAACTATAACACGGGAATGCTGGACAAGTGAGTCATCAGTTATAGTGTGTTGCTTGCTCAGATATGGGAAAGAAAAGTGATTTAACTGAATTTCAACGTGGAATAATTGTGGGTGCGAGATGTGTCGGANTTTCATACCCCCTTCCCAAAAAAACAATTTAACTTGATTTGCAAGAGACACATCGGGTACCTTCCTTGCTAATTATTGAATTCTTAAACACACTGACTTTAATAAAATTTTTAAATTTTTTAGTAGTAGTGGAAAATAAATTTTAATTAAAATTCGTTGGTTCCATTAAAAGTGAATTCTCAAATAATTTTGAAGTAATTACCTAGATTAAAATACCAGAGCATCTTAAATATTTCCCATCTTCTAAGACACTTATACTATTTCGTCTACTGATATAGCTTTGTATTTCTAAATTAATCTAACCTCAGAGAATTAATATAAAGAATTTCTATTATTAATAGGAAATAAGGTTTAATTGTGCATACATCTCTACCATGACTGTCATTTTTCTTCAGTAAATTTTCTATATTATTGAGTTCTGCTTGCTTAGCTTCTACAACAAAAGAGAATATTTTTCTCCATGATGTTAATACTTGTCGTGCCTAAAGAGTAAATTTTTATTATTGATGTTTAACATTTAAACAATGCCAGAGATAAAATATAAGGAATATATTTATACTTTAATAATATGTTATGAACAAACAAATGAATTTAGTTATTCTTGATAATGCCAAATTTTCATTTACTTAAAAGATTATAAAGTGAAAAAAGTCGACATGCCGATTTTTTCACCTTTTATAATTTTTGAAGCAAATGAAGAATATATATTATCAAGTACATCTTTACATTACAGTTTCTTTAGATTATTCATTTTGACATACCGATTTTTTAGCCCTGCCTACCGGACTGCGTAGGGGACAGGGAATTTACTTTGAGTCAGAAAGGTTCGAATGCCAGGCAAGGCATGGATGATCTTTTATTCTCTGTACTATTTGTCCTTAATGTGGGAGCAACGTTGCCCCACCTAATATGTTGTTCCTGAAAGTGTGGCCAGCAAATCTTCCCTTCAGATGCCTATATTAACGAAAGGTGGGCATTGGAAAAAAAAAACTTCTTTTTGCCCTTTATAATTTTTCAAGCAAATGAAAATTACATATTATCAAGTATATCTTTACGTTACAGTTTCTTCAGATAATTCATTTAAGAACCCAGAAATTATTTATCATGATTATTTAAAGTACTAAATATGATACAATTTATCACATTAACTATAATTAATTATTGGGTAAGTTAAGTAATCGATATATACAAGAAATTGTTAAATTAGTTATGTAATGTAAGTGTATATCATTGCTTGGCACTCCCTACATTGATGATTTTCTTAATCGATGCTAATAAAATATTATTAATAATAACTACTAAAACTAAACTCAGCGGCGCAACAGCCCTTGAGGGCCAAGGCCTACTGTGCCCATCTCAGTTTTCTTGACCTTGGGCTCTGAGGTGCAGGGGCAGATGTTCCGGTCAGGTGGTCAGCCGAACGTGGAACTCCCAGTGTTTAGTTCCCAACCATGCTTGGTAACCATTTATCGACCCACTGAAGGGATGAAAGGCTGAGTCAGCCTTGCCCGGCCCGAAGATCGAACCAGGGACCCGTGGCACGACAGCGCGAAGAGCTACCGCTCAGCCGCCGAGCGTCAATAATAACTACTGATTGTTAGTAATCTACATAAAAAGTTTTTTTTTAAGGTTAAGAGCTATTTCCCGGCATACACTTCGGCATTTTCTACATCGTGTTTTTTTCCATTCAAACCTAATCAGATCATTATTAATAATAACTACAGTGATCATTAGTAAACAAGTCAAGATATTTTTTAAGAAAAAGGGTCATTTCTCGGCTTGCATTTGCCTGGTATTCTCAACTCTGATTATTTTCTTATTCAATCCATTTTGGATATTATTAATAACAAGTGGCAAGTTTTTCCGCTTATTATTACTAATATCCAATTTATAAATAATACTTTCGTTAATTTAATGATACCCAAAAAAGTTGATTATTTTGAAAATTTGAGAACTTGTCACATCCGCTGGCTATTTAAATATCAACTGAATTTACCTGAAGTAATAAATTTTGTTTTCCATTAAGAAAAAATTGCTAAAAAGGATAATTTGTGTTTATTATTAATACCGGTTATTATTAATCATACCAAACTCCCTTATTATTAATTTTTCACAAAGTTACTTTTTTTAGTCAGTCATTATTATAAATAATGAGCAAATTTATCATTATCATCCAATATAAACTGATCACCAGCACCATAGATGTATCATTGTAGATATTACTATGACCTATGATACATATGTTATGATTACATTAGCTTGATATATATGTTATGACTATAACATAATATCAGATTTTTCGACAAAAATCTAGCAATATATCTGTAAACTCTTTTCCTTATTTTAGATTCATTATTTACGTTTTTTATGTGACAACAACAAATATTAATGAACTTTTTCTTTTATATTCAACGGTTCTTTTTTATTTTGCATATTTCTATATTTTCACCAAAAAATAAATCATCTCATGTGGCAAATAATAATGCAACGAAACGCTGTGAAATCTATATCTTAAGAATTCATAAAATAATAATTTACTAACTTGGTAATCTAAATTAAAGCTGTTGTCAGAATTTATAACTTCTGATGTTGAGTATTCATCTTTCATTTCCTCTACTTTCTTATGAAGCGCTTCAATAAGTTCTTCTCTACGAATGTTTGAAGCCATTACAAAAAGCTCTTTCCAAGAGTTTGATATTTTTAGTGCCTAAAATTAAAGTTTAGCAAAAGCAATAGAAAGTGTTAGAAAAGAAAAATTGAATAAGAAATATAAAAGAAAAATATAATAAATATATACTAAAAAATTGGAATAATAATAATAATTATTACTGATTCTTATTTTAAAAATAAATTGATTACGAAAAAATAATTGAAAACGAAATGATTATCTTGCATTCAGTTAATTGTAAAAACATCATTTGAATATGATAATCTCAAAAATTCACTCTGGTTAATTTAAAGTTCTTATTAGCCACATGCCGAATTTCCGACAAACTTTAATATTTTTCCAGAAATAAAAAATATCGAAAATATTTTAAATATTTTGACAATAGACAGAGAAATATATAATTTGTCCAATTTATCTAAATTTTCTATATTATCCATATTAGAAAATTTAATTAAAGGAAAAGAAAGATTTCCCTATATTTATTTTTCAAAACTTATTGTCCACACATTTGCTGATGGTGAATTTAAATATTGAACGATATAGCTATTTTTATGAGTAGGAGGAAAATTAACCTATGTAGGTAAAAGAGCGAAATAATTTTTATTAAGTATCATTTGATACTTAACAAGACAAAATATTATTTTTAAAGTGGTTCGTATTAGTTTTCTTTGCAATTACTTAAATAAGAGTCGACTCCATAATATTTAAAAGAGTTAAGTCTCTTCAATGATTTTTTAGAGTGTGTTCAATCCGTTCCGGTAGCCCAACTTGTAAATTGTATAGTTTATTGCACGTTTCCAAATAAATCAAATATATTAACATAATCAAAGATATGTATGATAACAGCAAAGCATGTATAGAAGTAAATGGAGAATTAACTGAATTCTTTTTAGTAAAAACTGGCGTGAGACAGGGATGTGTTTTATCGAGATTTTTATTTATACTGGTGATAGACTGCATTATGCGAAACAGCTTGAAAGATGAAAAAAGAGGAATAAGGTGGAATTTCACAACTACTTTAGAAGACCTTGATTTTGCTGATGACATCGTACTTATTTCATCCAAATGTACAGACCTTCAGCTTAACCCACTTTGGCGACCTCTNAAATCAAAAGAAAAATGACAAAATTAAAATCGAAAATCACGAAATAGATGACATAGAATCATTTAGCTATTTAGGTTCTATTGTAGATAAAAAAGGTGGAAGTAGCGAAGATATTAGACAGAGAATAATCAAAGCAAGAACATGTTTTAAGGGATTACATAAATTTTGGAGAGAGTCAAATATTGAAATAAAGACAAAAATAGTTGTTTACAAAGCTATTGTTAGAGCAGTACTATTATATGGCGCAGAAACCTGGAAACAGACTAAGATCGAAATACAAAAATTAGAAACCTTTCAAAACAAATGTTTAAGATTTATTTTTAAAATTTTCTGGCCTTACAAAGTATCAAATCAAAATCTATTAAAGAAAGCTAAAATAAAAACAATCGAAGATGAAATTAAAAAACGAAGATGGAGCTGGCTCGGACATATCCTTAGAATGCCCAAAGAAAAAATTTCATCTGTTGCGCTTACATGGGCCCCTGATGGTAAGAGAACAAGAGGAAGACCCAGACTTACCATCCAGCGCATGTTTTTGGGCGAATTAAAAGAATGTGGAATATCTGGCTGGGAGGAAGCAAGATCTATTGCTAAAGACAGGAGGCGTTGGAGGGATATGCTAGAGGACTTAAGTGCCCAAGGCACGTAGAGGATAAGTAAGTAAATAAATCAAACAAAAATTCAATTTAATTTCAATTTAATAATATAGTCTATAAAAACAAACTTGTCATAATAAAGCTTTTACACTTTTTGGACGTGCAAGCTTATGCAAATTTTTATTAAAAAAATATTTGTACTAATTTTCAGTTTATATAATTTCTGAAACTTATTAGTTATTAAATGAATTGGTTGCAATCGATAAATAAATAAAGATTTTCAGCATGTTAAGAATTTTATTATAAACTAACCTACTGATTCTATAACAGCAAAAATTCGTCATTATATCCAGAACAATCGATAAACCTATTATCGATAAATTTACGTTTCAAAAATGAATCTGATATCATTAAAGGCCATATTTTGTTCACATCCTTTTCTCTATAATTATACTCAATTATATCGTGATCATACATTATTAATTTTTTTTAGATCTACTTGTTTTTGGACGAAAAAATTAAAATTCATTTTCATACAAAAGTATCAATTATATGAATTGCTCCTATGAACACATGATGAAAAGCTAGATTGAATATACCTGAATGCGGATAAGAAGCTCCCTTTCTTGTTTCATTTCTCTTTCTTTCACTTCCTGAATCAATGTCGAAATTACTTTTTCCAAGCTTTTTTTCAATAGAAAAAGTGGCACTTCAAATTCCTTTTGTTTTATTTTAAATGCTTCACACAAAAATTCTTTCAGCGATGAATGCACTTGTATGACCTAAACAGCGATTAAACAACTTAAAATATTGAAATAGTGAATTATCGTCGTTAAAATACTTTGAAACTTTAAATAATCTGCAATACGTCCTTTACGTGTATTTATGATTCAAGGAAAGAAGTTCAACCGAAGAAGACCAATATAGAAATTTATATTAAGCGAGTGAATGCTAAGTGCTTTCCAACACCAAGACAACAAACGTGATGACCCATAAATCAGCTATTAAAAAACAAAACGTTAGCAAAAATTTGGTGCTCAAAAAATTCTTTTTAAAAGAGGTAGTATTCTCTTGATATCTTGGTAAATATACAAGATATCATAAATTACTGACACTTTTAGTGTCCACTAACACACTGTTAGAAATCCCTATTCTGAAATTACGTTAAAACAACCGGCTGTAGTCAGTCCATCCAATTAACCGTAAAGCTTACGGTGAAGAATATTTTTTACTTTTATTATTTTGAAACCGTTTATAACTAGAATGGTTTCAAAACCAGGAAAAAAAGAAATTTAATTGCACATTGATGATAGGTAATAGGCATTGGAGTTAAGTTGTGGTTGAGTTGTGCTATATCAAATGAACCCGTATCAAATGAATAACTAGCTTATCTGGTTTTTTTCTCCTATCATATGGTAAATACTAGACTTCTTTGTGTTAAGCAGCTTTTTAGTACTGCCATCAATGCGTGAATAAGAGTATCGTATTCTAATAGTCCAGGGTCACAAATAAAGGGAGTGCTGGACACTGAACTTCATGTGTTGAAGGGAATGGAGGAAAAATTGTGGTGTCAGCGCTGGGACTCGAACCCCAGTTCTGTCAGGTAAAATTCTGGTTGTTTAACCGTATTAAGTGAAAACAGTTAATAAACGTTTTTTTCTCACAATTAACAGTTTGAATACCATCTTATTTATGGTTATTTGACAGCTTCATTTGAAAATCGTAAAATAACAATAAAATAAATTGTTATTCATCCATTTTTTCCGAAAAATTTCTAACAGTGTATAACTTACAATTCTGATATATGCTTGATATTAAATAATAATTGAGACTGAGATAATGGATAAGAGTGAAATAAAATAAGTATACCTTACGGATGGGATCGGTATGAAGACTTGTAGCAACTTTTTGAAAGAGATCTTTAAAAGAAAATACAACAGGAAGCTATAAAAAACGCATACTTTTTTAGCTCACATACTCCATAAACAACTTTAAAATTTATACTTATAAAATGTAAGATTTAGTTATGAAAATAGGTTGTAAAATTGAAAAAAATATTGAATATTAATTATTTTGCATTTTAAAGCACAAAAGAAATCCAATTTCTAATTTCTATTACAATGCAGGAAAACAAAAGATTTACTTCGCAAAATACAATTAAAGAAAAAAAGAAACATATAAGTCAGAATAAAAGCATTATACAATTCAGATACTATCGAGAACCGATTAAAATTAAGCAATGAAATTATGAATCGTGGCTATTGAAATGAAACTTTTCTTTTATACTTAAATTTTAATTATAACTGTAAAAATTAATAATAATTTCAAATCTTTAAATAATTAATTTTAAATATGAATATAATTAAAAACTAATACCCTAACATAATTTTTTCCAACTTGTTGAAGTATCAATTTACTAACCCTAATATATATAATCATCTGCTTTCGTATTTGAGAAGTATTTTAAGAATATGTTTTTAATGTGCTTATTATTAAACACCTTGTTCAAATATTTAAAAATTGAGTTTTCTAAATTAACGAAAATGTCTTTTAACATGATTTTCCACTACGTTCTTCAGTTGTATCGGTATATTTGTTTTTGTGTAGAATAATGGTATTGATAATTAACAAAGAAACTTTTATCTTTTACTTTCTCAATTTTTTTCTTTTGAAAGAAGTTTTGATACAAACTGTAAATATTTAAATTTTTTGACTTTTTTATTCTGACAATACATTTCTCAAATGTTATATTGGAATTTTTAAACTTTTTTATTATATGTTATATTGGAATTAATGAACTCTAAAAGATAAACTTTGTTTTCATTCTCTTGATTAAAACAATTTCTAAATGAAGTAAAAGAGTGTTTATATTAAAATATCCTTAAATTCTTTCAAATTTCAGATATTCTTTTACTACGATTAGATTTTTTGATAAAAAATATTTAATACGTATATCGAATAATTGTAAAAAATTGAACGAACCCAATAGTAAAACGCTGGGTATAGGTAGTACAATCAGACTTAATTATTCATTTTCAATATGAACTTTTTAAATTAGGATCAAAAAAATTAAACTAGAGTTTCTCCTTTTTTGACAATATATTTTCTTGAATATTTCTTCGGTCATTTTTAAAAAGAAAATAATTTAAAGGTATATCCTTAAAATATATTTTCATTCTGGTGAAATCATATGTACGAAAATTAATACTAAATTTCTTTTATTTTTCAAATTTAAGTAAATGTGAATGCCTAACACTCCTATCGTTTATTTTTTTCAATCAAAATTTTAATTTTACGGTATGAGAACTAGATAAATAAGAAATATGTGAAAAAAACACACGTATTATTTTTAATACGCGAAACAGATCCTTCTTTGATATTTATTTAATTCATTTAAATTTTTTTAATTGTTTTTCAACCACAAAAGGGAAAAAAAAACATCATATAACTCAAATAAATAAACCTTTATTGCTCCTTAATTTTTGAAAAATTTACTGGATTTATTTTTCAATAAATAATTATACAAAAATAATTTTAAAAAAATCTAGGATTCTCTATCTAGGAAATCTAGGAAAATCTAGGAAAAATCTAGGACCAGGGATCTAGGATTTAAAAAATCAGAACCGCGATGTAAATTGGGCTCATTTTTTTACTCCATAATTTGATTCTTTTTATTCCCTTTCCCTTTAAAAGTAATGACTATTTAACCCAAAGAGGGTATTTATTAATACATCGATCTAAAGAAATATGTTACATTACCTTTTTTCCATCATCAAAGACTTCATCATTATACGCAACAATCTTTTCATATTTTCTTTTCTCTATTTCAAGAGCAGCAAAAAATAAGTCTTTTAGAGTTACTATTATTTCTTGATGCTAGATTTGAAAAAATAATAATAAATTCTATTAAGGAATAGAAAAAGTTTTTAAATAGTTAAGAAATATATTCAACTTATTCAACGGAAAACAAATCGGTTTTTAATTCATTGAATGAAATGAACGACTTCTAATACATGTTGCACATGTTTATATATAAATTAGTTACAATGTAAAAGGACAACATTAATTTAAAGAATGTCACATATAAATGTTTTTGCTATAAATTCCGACGATAATTAAATTAATTATGGTTCCGTATAAAAGTACCGGTACTTTTTACCGTAAAATCCATTTTTATCAAATCATGTTACAGAACAAAAAACCTGTTATACTGTAATTTTTACAGTAATTATTGCCGTAAAATAACTGTTTTACTGTAAAATTGATTTTATGGATGACGCCCTCAAGTGCCGATACTTTTTACCATAATTTGGTCTTGAATTTTTCACAGTGTAATTGAAAGCACAAGATGTTTACTAACAGTTAAAATATAAAATTTTAATGCGTTGTAGGACCTAATAATTGCATAAGGATGCTCACTTATTTCCTATAGTTTTTAGAATTTAAGTAAAAATATTGATAAATAGTGGTATAAAAATGGAGAATATGAAATTAAAAATTAATTAGAAAATAATAGCTAAATTTATATATCTGTAAACATACTTCAATTCCATATACTTTGTGACTAATTTTCAATTCTTTTTCAAAAATATTAATTTCTTTTTCTCGCATAACTAAACTTGTTAGATATATGTCTTTGCAATAAATTTGCAGAGCTTTTACCTGGAAAAGTGAAATTGGTTTTAATGACAGAATACAAAAAAGTAGGTATTGCAACTGTGAAATTTTCTAAAAAATTCCACACTTTTATTAATTTACAACTGCTTTGCTGAAATTTATATTAAAACAATGCAAATACGGATGGTAATAAGAATTCTCAAACTTTAAATAATGTTTCTTCACCTTAGAAGATATTTACATTCTAATAATTTTTTGCGTTCTTTTTGAACAGAAAATCACGTGATATGATCATTAAAATTCACATTTAATCCATATATTTTTGGTTATCACCATCACACAATTAATACAATTTATAATGGTATTTATCTATAAACTATTGATCTATCCGTTGTTCAGCAAACTTTACGAGTAATATTAATTTATCAATCCTTCTTAATATTAGTCTCTGTTATTATTACGTTTTTCATTTAAATTATCATTTGAAATTGAAGAATTAAAATCAAAAAAATATTGTTCTTCTATATTTCATTATATTACTTTTTATACGACATTTTATGGCACAGTTATTTAGTAACAATTTTACAACTATTTATTTTCTTTTCAATGTCCAACCCTGAAATTTATTTTTGTCATTCAGGTATCAGAAGAAAAGTTTTGCTGACTACTCTCTTAGAGGCTCCATATTAGGTGGGTTAACATTGTTTCTACAAAAAGAAAGACAGATGATACACAGAAGAGAAGGAAGGAACATATATGCCTTATTCGGGATTCAAACCCGGGATCTTTTTGACTTGAGGTCAACTCCCTGACCACCATACAGCCGATCCTCATCATTAAATAATGAATTAGTCATATTTACTTTGTAATAAATTATTGTTTTTCTAACAATATATTCAACATGAACAATTATATGTTCGTTCTGGGATGAATACTTAGATAAATGATGAATATTTACATAAAAATCTAAAAACGTAGCACCATTCTTAAATAGTCCTTTAGGAGAAAAATACACAACGAGTTTCTTATGATGATTAAGAATCTTAAATATAACGTTATTTATAAAGTTATAATTTTGAGCGAAATCAGTACATTTTGATTTTATTAAGCAACTGTATCGGCAACTGAATCAGCGGAAAAAAATCTGTCATAAAACACTACAAATTTTTGTCTTTTAATTGAATAATTTTTCATTTTGATGTAACAGTATGTTTATCAACATCAAACAAAAATTATTGTGAAGAAATCGCTTCAGTTTGTTAAACGAAGTAAGCCTAGATGGAGCACCCTTATTCAAAAAGGAAAAAATTTAGCGAAAATGTTTTTTACTCATAGGTTTGATAACTAATTTCATTGCAATGCAATTATATTAAAATTACTATATTAAATATATTTCCAACGTATTTTTAGTCCTACTATTAGCAAACAAAAAAAAAGAAACATTAAAAATAACTTTCGATCTTAGAGAAATGAACTTTCAATCCAAGATTTCTACTACTCTAAGCTTTCGCTCAAAGAATCAGTAAGTCAGTAAATAGAATACAATACTAATTGTTAATAATTATTCAGTCTACCTCAATTATACATTATAATTAGACAATTATGCATTAATAAAATATGACCTAAAGTTATAGTTCTTTTGTATAAACATTACTTGGGTAGTTAAGGCCTTAAAATGTTACATTTATTATTTTTGTTTTATTTTTTTTAACTATGCCTCTGGGACTAACTGAGTAAATCGAATATTTTCATTGAATAATAGAACTAGTTAATATATAAATTATTTCATTCATTTTCAATAATTATTTGCTATTTTCTTCCATCTAATTTTAAAATATAAGATATAATAATAGGGATAAAATATTATAATCCTATAGGAGGATAAACTAGATTCAATAGTTTCCAAAAAACAAAAAATATATATTAAATTTTTTTAATCACAAACTATTTAACCGATTTTATGCACATTACTATCATTCAAATCTACATAGTTTAAAAGGATGTAAGGAACGTTAATCTTTACTATTCAATTTTTATTCAATTCAATTTTTATTCAATTCTATTCAATTTTTATAGTTACAAACAATAATATAAAGTAACCCAAATTTTGCATGGAGATATCTTAAGATAAACGAATTTAAGTGTGTTTAAAAACGGTCTTTATAAGTTAATTATTTCTAAAAATGTGGAAGACAAGGCTACCAAATTTTAGACAGACCTTGAAATATGTGGACCACTTTTTGTGTAAAAAAAAACAACACTTTTTCTAAAATGATTTATATATTTTTCTAAAAAATTAAGCATGTTACAAAATAAAGATTACATTTCCGCCTAATTTTTGAGTAAACAGTAAAAAAAATAAACAAGTTTGCCGTTTATAAACGTCTATAAGCGTATGCCGTACAAATCAACAATACATGCATCTAGTTTCTTTGTCGTTTCCCATTATTAAACAAGATGGATAATGTAACAATAATAATAATGCAAATATTGTTTATGATGAATAAATGTACCTTCGAAAAACAAGTCTTTTTTAGAGAGTCATGAAAATTTGACCTTTTAATTCTAATTGAGTATAAACCATCTATTTAATTATATAGCTTGATTATAAATAGGTAAAAAATTCAAACATCCAATACCGTATCCCCGCCATCTTCTTTACTATCTTCAAGAGTATCCAAATCATCCATTAATTCATCTAACTCATTTAAAGCCCTTTTAATTCCTTCTTTGTACAGCGCATAGCAGAAATTATTCACCTATAATCAATAAAAACATCGAACATGTTACGTCACATTTATAATTTACTTATTTCTTCTAAAATTAGTCTTTTTATGTGTTTAAACGTGATATCCAGAACATTTTAAGTTAGTTAAATGGAACAAAATACTTATTTCATACTATTTTACAATAGTCTGAAATAAATTAGCAATAAACCTTTAAAAATAAAATTACGAAGTTTTTATTCTTAAAAATGAGAATTAGAGAAATATTTTTAGCTTTAGACCGGAAAAATTAAAATTTCAGTTTTATTTTAAATTTCAAAATAAAAAATTTAATAAGCAGAAAAAGTCAGTGACTTGATAAAGTAAATATCACATTAACTTATTTTGATGCTTAGGAGGTAGATAATAAAAGGCGTAAGAATCAGTCTTTTTAATTAGTGTTTTTTCCTGAAAAACGTAACAGGATTGTTTAAAATAGTTTTTTTTATTCTTTCCTTAATTTCATCTAGGGTTTAAGAAACTCATTATCGTTTATTCAGGTATTATTTTTTTAATTTCTGCTTTCAAACGAGCTTAAAAATAAAAGAATGGTTTTTAAAAAATATCAGAATATGTCTAATTTTTAATGGCTTTTAAATAACTTAACCGGGTAATTTGTTCCTGGGATAAATCATTATTAAATGAACACTTGAAACTAAAATATGAAACTTTAAATGCATACTCTCTGTACTAGTTAATTGTTTGATCTTTATCTTTCGATCTTTATCTTTTTTTATCTTCTTTGATCTTTATATGCAAATATTTTTTAAAAATGAGGAAAATTGATTTGTTTTTTTAATGTATTTATAAATTCTAATTCTTAATTAGGTTTATAAAAGCATTTAACAAATCTTTTTAAGAAATTTAAAACACTAGAATAATAAAAACATAGCACAGAATTACGTGTTCCAAAAGAATTGATACAACAAAAATTTGGAATATAATTTTTCGCTACTGTTTATAAACAAAGCTATTATTACAATATTCAACCTACATCAATTTCCTCTACATCCTCTAACTTGCGTATTTCACTTTCAATGGCATCTATTCCATTTAAAACAACATTTTTTAGTTCTTCATGAAGTGTTCTGTACAAATCAGCGGATGGTATCTGCAAAGAGAGTTTATAAAAGGAAATACAGCATTTTATATCTAAATATGTCATTTTTAAGAATATATTACATAAAGAACTAAAAGTAAGCTCCTTTCTGAAAGGGAATTACCAGACCTTCTTTTGCAATAAAATCGTTATATTTCTTTCCCTTCATATCTTGATAGAACTTATTAAATGTATTTCTTTAAAGCTGGATTATTATTATTCTGTATAACCTCGAAATTACGTTAATATTACGTTAATATTTTTGTAAATTTTTCTTATAAGCATTAACATTAACATAAAAAAGAACGCAAAATTTATTAGGCTGTATTACTTTCAACAATAAGTTTGAATCCTATTTATTTATTCGTTTCTGTCACATCGAACAATTATTTCTTTGTAGCTTGCATTTCCATTATGTAAACATTTAAAATAAAATCGTCTGCTTTGAAAACATTTAAAATACAATCGTCTGCTATGAATTTTTTATTTTCAAAAAATCGTTGTATGATTTCATTAGGAAAACTTCATATATTTTAAAATTAAAACCATATAACAGATAAATATAAATTTTTCAAAAAAAGACGCATAATTCTTGAAATTTGGTACTTGCAACTCGAGAAGAAAAATACCGCTGAAATCACGTGGCTGTGCCTGATCACGTGGTTGTGGCTTGTTGACGTTACAGTTATTGATCTAAGTTTAGTGTCACACTGAATGAATTTTCGGATGAGATTAAATTGGACATCGGCAATAGACGTTACGCGCTTGTGACAAGCCTGATTAGCAACTGAATCGTAGCATTAACAAATGCCACAATTTATTCACGCGTGACATCGCTTGCATCATGCATCCAATTTTAAAGATTGTAAATTTAAGTGAGGGAAAAAATAATAAAACATAACATGACTATAAATTTACGACAAGTTTTAAATGAATCATTAACAGTACGTAAGTAAACTAAATGATATATATATATATATATAATAAATAAATAAATACAAGAAAACAAGAAGAAAGTTAAGAAAAACAATAAGTT